CTCCTCTCATCCCTCTTCCCTGCTCCTGTCCCCCGGCCCCTCCTCAGCACTGCTCTCTGCTCTCCTGCCCCTGCTCCCTCCATTCCATTTCCCCTGCACTTTCTCCCCCACCCCCTTCCATCGCTGTTCTCTCCTTTCTCCCTCTTCCCTCAATTCCTCTCCTCTTTGAATCTCTTCTCATGTCTCCCACTCTCTCCTCTCGTTTCTCTATCTCCCCTCTCTTCTTTCCATCTCATTCCTTTTTCTCCTGCAGGAATCTGTCACTTCTTTTCTCCTCCACCCTGGGGTTCTCCCCTCTCACCAGCCCCCCCCCTCCCCCCCCCCTCCCCCCCCCCCCCGTCTCCACCCAGCCTGTCCAGGGGGCCCTGCATCCCTGCCCCCACAGGCTCCTCTCGGTCAGTCTGATCTTTGCCTCCCTCTGGTACCCTCAATGCTCTGAGGTTTCTGAGCAGGAGGCAGGAGTCCACTGGGATCCTCGCAGGCTGTGTGGCAGAAGGCAGGACAGCCTGGGGCAGGTGCCCAAGCCAGAGGCCCTGGGGTGAAAGGGCTTCTGTGACACCGACTTTTTTCTTTTATCTGTCTGTCCTGGACTCTGGACACTGCCTGGAGGAATCAGACCTGTCCCAGGCCCAGGAAGGAGGAAACGAAGAACAAGCTCAGAGACGGAGCAAGTTGCCTAAAGACACAAAGCATGTAAGTGGCTGGGCCAGGCCGGGGCAGGAATGGCTCCTTGTCCACTCTGCTGATGCCAGGACTCCTCTCTGAGCTCAGGGAGAAGATGGCTACCTCCTTCTGCTCCATTCCCCTCCCCAGCCCTCCACCACCTTCTCTTCCTAGGGCAGCATGGAGCAAGTCAGCAGTGGGGAGGACCCAATGTTCCGGAGGATCAGCACCTGCTAGGACTGAGGCCTCCCCGAACTGGACCTTCCCAAAGGACACCAGTGCCCCTGCAGGGCACTCCACTTCAAGGAGGAGGAACACCGGGTCTGCAGGAGGCCTGAGAGTCTCCAGTGAAACCCTATACCTCCACCTAGCAGCAAAGGATGGAACTGCAACCCAGCTGTATTAGACATGGGAATGGTCCCAGCAAAAAGTGGCCAGTGGCTGGAATGCAGGATGGGGAGGGGGGCGCTGGAAGGGAAGGAGGGGAAAGGGAGAATTTTCAAAACTCTGTAAAAATAAAAAACTTTGACTCCTAGTCTATATACATCATACTCAGCAAGCTTCTTGTATGCTAACTTAAGCCTCTGGACTTCACGTTTTCCAGTCATTCTGTGGGTAGGTCTCCCCTGTTTCCATGGAAATGCACCTGGGACTGTATGAGACAGGAAGGTAGACTTGGTGTACAGTCTGCTTAGCAGCCCATTTCCAGGAAGTAGGACAAACTGAGTGTGTTTCCTTTGTAATGACACTTTATCCCTTACCAAATGGGAGTGGGAACAAAGTGAATAACAGCTAAAGGGGCCCTAACAATTGGCCCCTGGTGGTCACCACAGAGTCTGTCAGATGAGTTAAAGGGGCCTGAAGAATTGTTTCCAGAAGCCATATGCCACAACACACAATCTGGGGTGGTAAAGAGGCTTTTAAAAATACTAAATAGTGCCTGGCCGGTGTGGCTCAGTAGCTGGGCGTCGACCTATGCACCAAGAGGTCACCAGTTTGATTCCCAGTCAGGGTACATGCCCAGGCTGTGGGCCTGATCCCCAGTGGGGGGGCATGCAGGAGGCGGCCAGCTGATGCTCTCTCTCATCCATGTCCCCATCTCTCTCTCCCTCTCCCTCAAATCAATAAAGAAAAAATATTTTTAAAATAAAAATACTAAATAGCATGAGATTCATCTATACCCCCAGATACCCCAGCTGACAAAAGGAGGCCATGAGTGAGCTCCGCAGGGCCAGGCGAGAATTGGGAGTTTAATAAGGACAGAGCCGGGGCCTGAACGAGCTCACAGAGACTAGAAGACACCAGAGAAACCGCCAGCCTGAGTGGCTGAGTCTTAGAGGAAAAGGATAGAGTCATATAAAGATCTCAAACTGCAATCCATTAAAAAATAATGAAATGGCCGGGCAAATGGCTGGGGTGCTGGGGGAATGCACCTGCAAATCACACAAAGCGTTAAGCACACAGAATCGGTCTTGGTTGGTGTTGCTCAGTGGTTAGAGCACCACAAAGCAGGGGATAGAGAAAAACTCATCAATTGGTTGCCTCCTGCACATGCCCCAAAGGGGTCAGGGATCGAATTTGCAACCCAGGTACATGCCCTTGACTGGTAATTGAACCCTCGACCCTTTGGTGTGTGGGCAGATGCTCTAAGCACTGAGCCACACTGGCCAGGGATCCACCTCATTCTTGAGAGAGATGCAGAGCCTGGGGGCAGTCTGTCCGTGAGGCTGTCAGGAAATGAGGGCTGGAGTTTCCCCCATGCGGCCAACTTCACAACATGGAACCAGTTTGCAAAGGCCGTCCACCCCAGCCATTCCGGTTCCGGAGGTTTATCTTGGTTACACCTGCATTTGTGGCAGTGTCCCTGATGACTGAGCGCAGGGCCCTTTCTGGGGGAGCAGAAGACCAGGCCACTCTGGGCACTGGCAAGGAAGACTGTGCAGGAGCAAAGCCAGCACTGGGCAGTGTGCGGAATTCTCGAGTTCTGTGCGACAAAGTGGGGAGATGAACTGCGTCCCTATTGGCGTGTGCCCCATAAACTTCCCAGGAGGAGAATCAAGGAAGCGATGGGGCAGCAACTCTCCACCACACACCTTCGCGCATTACCTGCTCATAAAAAGGCTTCTAAACTGCCAGTGACCCCACTTACAGTCACGCGTCCCCAGGAAATAACTCGAGCTCACACCAGACAGAGGTTGGCCAACAACGCTCACTGTAGGGCTATTTATAACCACATAAAGCAGGAAACGAGCAAAATGTTGAACATTTGGGGAACAGTTTAATAAACTGCCACAAGACACAGGGCAGCGTCATGCAGCCATGACGAGGACGAAGGCCACGTTCAGGGGTTTCTGTAATGCACCACGTGAACGTCGAAACCCAGTGGTGTCGTACACCTATATACACCAGGACCACCTTGGGCCAAGCCCACGAGTGCGTTTGGCTGCTGGCAGTTGTAACTTTTCAAAACTTTATATATTTCAATATATTCTCGCCCATGTTTTATACAAACAGGTGGGGTGGGAGGCATGAATGGCAAAGGCCCAGGCGTCTAGTGCCCAGTGGGGTGGGATTCTATTTACATCCCTGGGCCCTGCTTGATGAAATATTGTTTGTTTTTGCTAATTTTAAACATCATTTCAAGCACAGAAGCCTACGGAAGGCCTGGCATCCTGGGCAGAAGGGCAGGGCAGGGCCACGGGGCAGGGCCACGGGGCAGGGCCACGGGAGGAAGGGGGCCAGGCGCCCACGGCCCGCCCAGGCCTGCTCTGAGCCCTGAAGCGCAGGGACAGGAGTGTCCCAGGTGAGTTGGGGGCCATCAGGCCTGGCCGGGAAGGCTGGAGAGCACTGGCATGTTCCCAGACTGCAGGCCTTGGGTGCAGAGGGGTGACGTGACATGAGGTCAGAGGGGCCCAGGAGCTTGGGCTCCAGCCTGTGGGCAAGCCTTTGGGGCCAAACTGGCAGACAGGGTGCAGCAGGGCCAAGAATCCAACAGAAACTCCAAGGCCCACAGGGAAGGGACTCGGGGAGGGGCAACTCCTTCTCGGGATGCCCAAGGACATGGACACTCTGGGCAGGAAGTCCCCTGGGCAAAAGAGGACGGGACGTTGACTGGCCCCTGGCCCCTCACCGGCCACTGCCCCCACCGCCACCCCCACCCCCACCACCCCCCTGACCCCCAGCATCTGGCGCTCCCGACATCATGAGGAACAGGACGACAGGAATGATGTACATCCACTGGGAGCCGGACAAGAGGACGGGATGGTGGACAGACAGACAGAGAAAAAGAGAGAGGGAGGTAAGTATGAGCAGCATTCCCCCAGGGCGAGGAAAGTGGGGGGCTGGCGTGAGGGCAGGCCAGTGAGGAGAGGGGCCCAGGTCCCCTACATCACTACGGGTGGTGGGGAGGGCAGGTGGGGTGCAGGGAGGGCAGAGGCGGGAGGGGGCTCGGTCCTCACTCAGGCCTCCTGACTCAGGCCTCCTGCGGTGATGGCGCGGGCCCAGGGGCAGCAGGACGAAGGGCTGTGAGCAACACGGCCCCCCCCAGGATGAGGTGCCACTGAGGAGGGAGGGGGCGCAGGTCAGGGCCAGTGGTGGCCATGGGGTTCTGCAGCCATCAGGGAGGGCAGAGCCAGTGTAGGCAAGATCTCGGCCTCTCTGCATCTAGCTGTTAGGCTATCCTGAGGTCAGAGGCCCAGCGGGCACAGCATCCTCCCCCGTGGCCCCTCAGCCCCAGCCACAGTGGCCTCAACGTCTCCCGGCCTAGCCTCAGGTGTGACCAGCCTCCTCCAGCCCCAGCACCCTCAGGTCCAAGGACCCTGGGCCTCAGAGCTTCTCTGGCAGCACAGACCTCCCCCACCTTAGCACCCTGTTCTCTGGAGATCTCTGCCGCTCCCTCTCCAGCCACACAGCGTGGCCCCGGCTCAGGCCTCATCCCCTTCACTGGACACTCAGCCCAGCCTCCTCCTAGAGCTGCCCTTACCCCCCTGCACCACAGCCCGGCTCCTAGCACTTCCTCTAACAGGCCCCAAGACTGACACTGCCTGTACTGAGTCTGCCCCCAACCCAGGCACCCCGGTTGCCAGCACCACCAGCTCTGAGCCGGCCATTCACAGACTGGACATCCGTGACCACTGCCGGGAGCTGGCACGGGCCCAGCCCTCACCTGCGCTGTCCAGGCCTAGGCTCAGCCCAGGTGCCAGGGGGCCACACAGAGAGCCCTGGAGACCAGCAGGCCCACACGCAGGAGGCCGGGAGGATGAGAAGCAGGGCAGGGGCACTTAGGATGGGAGCGGGGCTGGTCAGGAAGGGGACGGGGCTGGAGGAACCCCACTCACATATTTGGCGAAAAAGGACTTCTGCTCCTGGGGGTTCCTGGCCTTCTGGGCCTGCTCCATCTCCAAGCGCTCAATGAAGGCCGCCGTCTCTGGGCTGGGGGGGGGGGGGACGACGAGGTGAGGGACCAGAGCTGGCCACCAAGAACACCAGCAAAGGCAGGGGGATGGCCAGGCCAGGCCAGGGCTGTGCACCCCTGCCCTGCGCCCTCACCCTGGGGCTGTGACCGGCGGCTGCAGCTGCACAGAGGTGTTGAACAGCTCCAGGTCCACGTCCTCCACCTCGTGGCCCCGGCAGCCCCCGGGGTGCGTCACCACCGACAGGCCCACCACGTTGCCAGCCACATCCACGTGCAGCGTCAGCTGATCCGAGAGGTGGGACTCCACCAGGGAGCACTAAGGGGGGTGTCAGGAGAGGGGGAAGCAGGGGATGTTGCCCAGGCCTTGCCCGCACTAGGACGCCCGAGCTTCCTGCCCCTCCCACTGCCCCAGAAGCATCTTTCAATTCTCCACGGCCACTTGGCCCCTCGGCACAAGCCCAAGCACAGCAGCCTTCCCCAGGCCAGTGACACCCTGTTGCCCCTTCAAAGAATGCACCACATATGCTGGGCCGGTGTGGCTCAGTGGTTGAGTATCGACCCTGCACCAAGAGGCCACCAGTTCAATTCCCAGTCAGGACACATGCCCAGGTTGTGGGCCTGATCCCCAGTGGGGGGCATAAAGGAGACAGCCAATCAATGTTCTGTTCTCTCTCATCGATGTTTCTTTCTCTCTCTCTCCCTCTCCCTTCCTTTCTAAAATCAATAAAGAAAAAAAAATTTTTTTAAAAAAAGAATATACCACATAGATGCAGATGGAGAGACCCTCGAGGACAAGGCCAAGTCCAAGTTTTCCTCATCCACAAATACTGGAACACGAATGGTGGAAGCCAGGCTGGGACGGGTGGGAAGAGCAAGGGTAGAGGCCGGTTCTGGTCACTGACTCACCGCGGGGACGAAGGAGGAGACATAGCCACCAGCTTCTGAGCCATCAGAGGCCCCAGGCCTCCTCGGAACCCGGACTCGGTACAGGCCGTTCAGGGCTGCCACATCCTGCAGGGCGAGCGGACGCAGCAGTGGTGAGAGGGATGTGCCCGGACCCTGCCACCTAGATACCCGCCAGGCCTGCAGCCAAGAAGGCCCTGCCCCAGTCCCACACAGCCTGCATCACCCACTGCCAGCCCAGCCCAGCTGAGGACGCCTTGGACTCTTCCCATGGGGTGGCCCTGCTGGTGGGCGAGGCCAGAACCTCCTGCAGCTGTATCTGGTCAAAGGGCTCGAGTGGAAGTGAACTGTGGCAGCTTTTGCCAGATTTCCCTGAAATATGGCTGTTCCCTCAGCCCCTCCTTCTCCCCCTTCTTTATCCTGCTCCCTGGAGTGCCACCGGAGCCTCAGCAACTCCCTACACCATCCTTAGGGAGGACCAAGCTGGCCTGGAAGGAGCCCAGCCCTGGAGGAAGCCTGGGAAAAGTAATGTTCTCCTGTTTGACCATGGCTAATGTGGGGATCTCTTTCTCCTCAAAAGCAAACCTCATCCTAACCAACCGTGACTCACTGGCTGAATCTAAAAGGGTAAGAGGAGCTGGTGGTGTGAAAACTGATGAAGGAGAGGATGTGATGGGCAAAGGCCCTGAGGCATGCATATCACACTCTAGGACAGTATATCCCCCTGCTTGCCAAGCCCCATGTCCCCTCCTCACCCGGAGTCGGCCCCGCTCCTCTTCATTGAGCTGCCGCTGCGACAGAGACAAGGTGCTGTCCTGCTGGTTCCAGAGTATCGAGCCACGCTTCCGGAAGTGGGCGTTGTCATCTATGGGGAGCCTGGGCTCAGCAAGCACCCCACTACAGCACCCTTCAACCCTTGCAGTGACCAGGTCACTTCCCCAACTTGAGCCCCCATTTTCCCAGCTGCAAATTAGGACTATCCCATTACATTCTCGCAGGGCAGACCAGGGCAGACGCCTGAACCCCACAGCTCCTAAGCCCTGCTAATGCCTGCCAGGTGACCCAGGGGCATTCTCATAACTGCTCTGAGCTGGTTTTCCCAGCTGCCAAGATACCAGGGCTACAGAACCCAAGAGCTCCCCTCAGGGGCTGTGTTCCAATCAGCATGGCTTTCTAAGGCAGATGCCAGGGTCTGACCCAGCCTCAGTGTTTATAACAAGTGTCCCCAGAGTTAGTGCCCCCCAGACTGGATTATTAACCCCTGGGCCACACTGTCGTCTGTGTTCTGGGGGACATCTAAATCAAGGCAGTTTAGGCTGAGCTTCAGTTTCCTCTTCTGGAAAATGGGGCCATCCCTAACACCTACTACCTTGAATGACTGTTGTGAGGATGTTTAATACACATGGAGCATCTAACCACTAGTGCAGGGCATGGGAGACTGGTCAGAAAAATCTGCTCTGAGGTTATTACTGCTGCTGTGGTGACCTTTCTGAAGTGGGTTTGTCTTACAGGTATGGGAGAGCTAAAGGCAGTCTCCATTCTCTAGTGCTGTCCGCATCCCAACCTCCCCAGTGTGATGCAAACACACTGCACAGCACCCAAACCAGAGTTTCTGACTTCACGGGGCGTTGGGTAAGTGTTCAGGAATGGGCATAGTTGGACTCACCAATCTCAAATGAGTGCTCCAGCAGCAGCCCCACGGTGCCACAGCCCTCGCCCTCTCGACCTTCTACCCCGGCCTGTTGATGACAGAGAGGGACCTCAAGTGAGCCATCATCCTGACCCAAGAACAGATTGGCAGGCTGAGAGAAGGGACCTTATTTTTACATTCATATCCAAACACTGACGCTTGCCCACGACTCCACCGCTCATTTCACGAAAATTCAGGATCTGGATGGTCCCCAGAAAACCAGCGCCTGCAAACCAGCTAACCTCGTTTCCAAGGCAACTGTCTCTGGGTCATTTTCACGCCTACTATCATAAACATTCCTGAGTTAAAGGGCACCTTAAGCTCCCTTGCCAAGCTAACAATATGCAAGTAGCCTCGTTTTCACCTCAACTGCCCCAACAGCCACGATGCCACCTGAGTTCCACCTCTTATCACATGCAAGGACCCACGTCCTCCTTTTCTCCTACCTCGGCTGCTTCCTCCGCTCTGCCCTCACACAGGCACAACCTCGGTTCCAGATTTTAATACCAAAGCTCAAAATCCCGCCCTCCTCATGCATATTCAGCAGACGGAATTCCTCGCCAGTGGGCGGAGAAACCAGAAACCTCGCCTTCTTCATTTTAGCCGCCCGACGTCTGATTCGCCAGCATTCCATCCGGGCCACGCCTCCTCATGCATATTCATAACTACAGGTCCCGGCATGGAGAACCTTGAGTCTTGCTAACCTCCTTCCGCGCATCTTTGTTTTCCCCGCACTGAATATTCAGGTGCCAAGATCCCATCCCAGCCCCGACCGCTCACCTTTCCTCCAGGTGTGCGGCCTCTGCATGGGCAGGATTGCAGGCTCGCTTTCCACGGTTCTTTCCCTCTCTTCCCTCCGCTCTGCGCGGCCTCATTCCCACCTTAACTAACGACCTCAAAGTCCGAGGCTCACGATTTCCGTTGGCTTCACCCTCTGTGCCCAGCCAGTGGTACTCACCCCCCGCACAGCGGCCCCGGACCGGCAGCCACTGCCCCGCGCCCGGCTGGGGGCTGCGGCCGCCATCAGCAAGAGCAGAAGCAACCGAGTAGCCCTGGCGCCGGCTGCCGCCATTTTGGCCCTTTCCCATCAGCCAACGGGCGAGTGAGCCGAGAACCGCAAGGAACGGATCGCATCCCACCGCCCGTGCGCCTGCGCCGGCTCCTTGCGTCTGCGCACTAGCACCTTCGCGACGGGGCCTGACGTCAGCAGGGTGGGCACCGCCCCTCGGGTGACGACACAATCACGGACGTCTCCTGGCCCGCCGCGTTGTGGTGTCATAGCGTCCGCGGCCACGCCCACCGTTCTCCCTAGGCTCCTCCCTCCACTAACCCTAAGGGATGAAGTGGGGACAGGAGCCTAAATCGGCCCTTGGTGGAACAGGTGTGGTGGGACCAGGTGGGATGGCAGGTGAGGGGCGGAGCCAGGCCTCAGGGGTTGGACCAGGTGAGGGATGGGGCTGGCGATGTGGAGACCGAAACCCCTAAGCTCAGCTCCAGGCTGGCTGGGAGTGCCGGGCCCAGCCTCCTGAAATAGACCCCCCAACTCCAACCCCCTAGAACACGCCCTCGTTTCAGCCTGTCCCCCGCGCCGGCCTGGACGGCTCCAACGCCACCTTCAGAGCGGCGAGTTCGACCAGCTAAGAGACTTCTGCATCTTTGAGAGCAACTTCGTGCAGGTGTGGAGTCCAGGGCCCCCTGAGCCGGAGCCCCGACCTCCTGACTTGGGGAACCCCGGCTTTCTACTTCTGACAACTCCCCCATAATGTCCATCTCCTGGATTTTCTGACTGCCCCTTTTCCCCATACCTCCAGACCCTTAGCTTCTCTATGAAACCTGGCCTCTGAGTCCCTTGCCTCAGTTTCCCTGATTTAACACCTACATGGCTCTTGACCTTTGACCTCAGGTATCTGGCTCTCATCTTGGTATTTAATTCACTAGATTCATGAACCTTAATTCTACCAAGATTCTTGACCTCTGATCCCTCCCCAACCTGACCCCACCCCCCAACTATCCAATTTCTAACCCTTGTCCCCCGGCCCCAGGTGACCCGGTTAGGAGAAGTTGCCAACAAGGTAACCATGGGGGTGGCAGCCTCCAGCCCAGCCCTGGAACTCCCAGACCTGTTGCTGCTGGCGGGCCCTGCCAAGGAGAACGGACACCTGCAGCTCTTTGGGTGACTGCCCCCACCCCAGCCTAGACCTCCTTCCCTAGCTCGGGGCATCCTGGGCTCCCTGAAGCACCTCCTCTTACCTAGATGACCCCCAGGGCCAGGAGCCTTGGATAGCTACCAGCTCTCTCTGGGCTGTCACCACCGAGGAGAACGAGGACAGGGGCCAGAAATCAGGGATGGATAGACATGAGGGGGAACAGTCCTCAGCCACACTCTGGAGGGGGTCAAGAGAAAGACCCCTGCATGCCAAGCACCCCCTGGGCCACTCACATCATCTCATTTCTGAACATGGTGGGACCCCTTAGCCCCATCCTCTAAAGATATAAACTGGGGCCAGAGAGGGGAGCTGCTTGTCCAAGGTCTTACAGCGCGTCAGGGATGGCTGGGATCAGAACCTCATGCCCTGGTGATTGCTGACCTCACGATTCTCAAGCTCCTGAGTCACACTGCACACAGCCCCTTCAGGTCTCTGTTTTCATGGAAAAAGTAATGTAGATCCACTCCAAGGTGGAAAACACACATAAGACAAAAAACACTTTTCTCCTGCATCCAACTCCAGCTGCAAATATCCAAACATTTCGATGGGTAGCATGTATCTAGAGAGGCATTCTGCCGGTGGCTTGGGCTTTTCTGTAACTCACTTGGTGGCAGAATCTAATTCTGACCTGAACTAACTAAAGGCTGCTTTATCCCCATCTATTAGTTTAAAACATTCCACCACAAGCAGTATTCAGACGTCTTATGAGCACTGGATATTTTCTCTTCTACGATATTTTCAGTGCTAACTGTGTCCCACCAATTGATCTCACTCCTCACTGAGTCGTCACCTGCATTTGGAAGGATGCTAAGGATGGTGCTAAGGGAGGCCTTTGACCTTCATAATCTCCTTCAGCACCCTCCCCTCACCCTCCTCCAATGAATATACCATCAAAGTAAAAACAGTGAGCTTGCTCTGCACACTCAGCCTCAAGACTCACCCTGGCCCCTCCCTGCTAACCAGCTTGCAGCCGGGAGTTACTCTGGACCACTTCTGGTGGGCATCTAGTATGTGTTGGGCCTTTAATAGTTGCAGGTACATGCTATATGCTCACTGCCCCAGGGTGATATCAATATTCATTTCATACCAACATGAGTATAGCCACCAGGTTTTCTTGTGGACATACACAATTGAACAAACTCTGGCCCCTAGGACACACACCTGCTGTTACAATGTAGTAGGGAACATCCTGCAACAATAAGCCGCCCCGGGATGACCTAGGTTCGAATTCTGACTTCACCTCTTCAGTGGCTTTGGCCCAGGATGCCCCTACCTGTCTGTGCCTCAGTTTCCTCATCTGGAACATGGAGAAAAGGGGAGAGCCCACCTCCAGGGCTGCTGGGGGATAAACTGAGTAAAGGTGGTTAGAACAGCAGCTCTTGGCACAGAATAAGCTCTCTGTCAATGTCAGCTGTTATTCTTCCATTTTGAGAACATAATAGATAAAGTCCCCCACGGAGGTAGGGTCTGGTGTCTTGGGGTTACAGCCAGGGTGGCAGGCAGGAAACATCCGTGTGCACAGGTGTGAGGGTGTAAGGTCAATTCCTAGAAGTAGACTTGCTGGGCCAGAAGGACACATGTGGCTCTCTAACTGTGGCTAAGAACATGGACGACTTGGTTTCAGATCCTGTTGTGTGACCTAGGCCAAATTACTCAGCCTCTCTGGATTGTTCCCTCCTCTGCCTTGTTGGACCTTGAGTGAGGCAGGGGACCGGAACAACTCATTTATTCAAATACTCAGCAAGTATCTATGGAGTGCCTACTATGTGTCAAATGGGGTACTGGGGAAGCAGCAGTGATAAAATCAGACAAAAATCTCTGCCCTCAAGCTCACCTTCCACTGGGCAGGCAGACAATAAAGGGCAGTTTGTCCAATGGGATAAAAGATCTGTGGAGACATATCCAGCAGGGACCATGGTGAGGTCTGCAAGTATAGGACATGACTGCAAGTAGGTCAAGGGTTGTAAACAGACTTCCCAGAGAGAGATGAAGGGACCAAGCCATGGGGATGACTGGAGGAAGATTTCCGGCAAACACCCTGTGCAAAAGGTCCTGGAGTTTAACCAAGCCTGGCAGGTTTATGGAACAGCGAGGAGGCCAGTGTGGCTGGAGCGGAGTGAGCCAGGGAAGTAGGCAGGAGGTGAGGGCAGAGAGGGAACAAAGCGGGCAGACCCTGCAGGGCCTCCAGGTCAAGGTGAGGACTGATTTTACTGAGCCATGGGCGGGACCTGAGCCAACTCAGGTGTTGACCGGCGCCCTCTGGCGGCCGCGTGGGGACCACACTGGGGCTGAGGGCGGGAAACCACGCGGGCTGGACCCACGTGGAGGCGTTGGAGAGTTAGGATTAGAAGTGGTGAGAACGTGGATACATTGTAACGGTAGAGCCATCAGGATTCGGGGGCAGGACTGGATGAGGGTGTGAGAGAGAAAAGCGGACCAGGAGCAGCAACTCCACGTTTCTTATAGAACAAATGGGAGGCTCTCGTTCAAACTAGGAGGACGCAGAGGGGCGGGTTTGGGGAGGGGATAAGGTCAGAGATTTGGCTGCTGGACATTTTATGTGTCCGATGTCGATCCAAGATCCAAATGGAACTTGCTTTCAAGCAGGTGGATATCGATTCAACTCTGGGATTTAGGAGCGAGGACCAGCGGGTGGATGGAAATAGGTGATGGATAAATCTCCAGAGGCAGAAAAAGTGGAAAGAACTCCTTCGGGGAAGAGAAAGGGGCGGCGAGGTGGGCGACCCCGATTCTGAGGGCGCCCGGGCTGCGGAGCCAGGGGAGGTCGGAACCTGAGGCCGCCCCTTCTGCCCGCCCAGGATGTTCCCCTTGCGGTTCGTCCAACTCTTCGTCCACGACGAAAGACACCAGCAGCTCAAGGTCAAGTTTCAAACAGGCCGCACCTTCTACCTGCAGCTGCGGGGTCGGTCCAGGACCCGCGAATGCGAGTTCGGCCAGTGGGTGCGGCTGGTCTACCGCCTGCGCTTCCACTCGGCCCAGGGAGCCGCGCCCGCCACGCAGGAGACCTGGGCGCTGGGCAACTGCGAGGAGGAGGAGGACGATGAAGACGAGGACGACGAAGCCGAGGACGACGAAGCCGAGTATCTGACCGTGGCGGAGGAAGAGGGGGGCGGGGCTTGCAGGAGGGAGGAGGGTGGCAAACCTCCAGATGAGGGGTTTGGGAAATGGGACAGACTCCAGGGTCTGAGGGAGGAGGTGGCTGGAGGCCTGGACTCCTGGGCATGAGAGAGGAAGTGACTAAGGGGCTGGACTCCTGAGCCCCGAAAGGGTGTGAAGTCTGTGCACAGAGCACAGCAGGGCGGGGTCTGCAGGCCTTGGTGCACCAGCTAAGGGGGCTCTAGTTCCCTCACTGGGCATTCCCCACTTCCAGCCTCTCTCCACAGTGGGACCTGGGGAGGGAATGCCGGGACCCTGAAAGGGTGGGGTCAGCCAGGCCAGATGCCCAGTTCCCTGGGGAGGCGAGGGGTGCCTGTCCTTGAAGGTGGGGGCACTGGAACCTGCGGGGCCTCATCTTCTGGGAGACAGCCACTCCCCTGCCTTCCCAGTAAGTGCAAAGTGCCCCGCCCACTCCCAAACCTAGCCCCATCCGCAGCGAAGCCCCCTGAGACAAACCCTCTCTGCGCAGCTCGGACCCGGACCCGTAGGCCGCCTAACTGTGGGGACTCCGATTCCTCCGACACCCTTTGAAGTCACCAAAGGACCAGGGAGCTAACGACCCTACTTCGGGCCCGACAGATGAATGATTCAAGTTAGTAGAGACTGACCCCGGGAAGAACCAGCAACCAGGTCACAAGCAGTTGCGCCACTGTCACCAATTCAACGTGTCCTTTCCAGGATGCTTCTGTGTGTCCCTGTGGTCTTCGGAGCATCACGTCTGGCTCCTTGGGGGCCACCCCTGGGACCTGGTGCCCCCACCTCCCCAGAGGAGCCTTCCCAGCCGGGCCTTTGGGTCCTCCCTGACTCGTAGCTGCCACAGCAGCCAACCTGCCTGGCCCCACTCAAGGCAGCTAGTCTGAGAGGGCTGCCTGTAGGTGATCTTGGGTCTGCCACTGATGCGGTGTCGTTGCCATGGCAACGTGTTTGCCTCACTAAAGTAGCTGTTTTCAGATGGTAGCCTCCGTTTGATCTGTTTCATCAGGGGGTTGCCTTATGGTGATGGCCACTCCCACCTGGCTGCCCCCGTTCCCCACCCCCAGGTGATCGACCCCTCCACAGGGAGGGAGGCAGATTCAAGAAGGGCAGACACGAGCGAATCCAGGCAAAATTGTTATCTTCTCAGTGATGGCCCCTGATAAAGAAACACTGTCCAGGGAGGTCGGGGTCAGGACTCGGCAGCCAATTGTCTGGGCGGGTGGGAGAGAGTTTCATTGCGGCACTGTGGGCGAAACGAGAAGAGGGGGCTCAGGGGGCCGCAGGGGCCTGGCTTCCCCAGTGCAAGTGCCCCCGCCAGGCCCCTTTGCCCGCTGGGTTCACTTGACCCGCATGGGGAGCCTCCCGCCCTCATCTCCGCTGGGCCGCCAACCCCACCCATGGGACCTGTGATGGCTGTAGCTTCGAACCCCAACCGAGGACACTGTGATGAGGGATTTCTGAGCAGCTGCTGGTGACAGGCTGTCACTGGAACCCTGAAGTGGGGGTATTTCTGAACTGATTCAATAGTTGATAAAGGGGACGGCAGAACGTGAGAAACTGAGTCAGCCCGGAGCAGTGACAGGCACGAAGGCTTAGGGGTCTCTGAGCCCTTGTTGAGGGTCGAGGTCCCCTCTGTCTGTTGAGCTGTCAAGGGGGCCAGGGAAAGGCACAGGTGGGGAGGGATTCTGGAAGCTGCCTCTGAGGGAGCTGGCTAGCAGCCTCCCCACGGACCCTGGACCGGAGCATGTTTGATGGGTGCGAGGCCAACGAGGGGAGATGAGGAAGAGTGTTCTGGGTAAATGGAATGTCATATGCAAAGTCCCATGGCCCGGGGGGTAGCATGGCCAGTTTGTCCAACTGCCAGCAGCTTGATGTGGCTGGAACAGCATGGAAGAAAATGGGGGTACATGAGGATGGAGAGGGACAGGGAGGGGGGCCAGATGCAGGACGATGACAGCAGGCTGAGGGGCTCCAGGGCTGCTAGGAAGCCCATAAAGGACACGTTAACCTTGGATAGAAAGAGTCCTCTAGGGCCCTGTGCGGGGTGGACTAGAGAGACAGGGAGGTGGGGAGGCTGGCCAGGGGAGAGTTCAGAAGGAAGAAGACAAACAGGCAGGGGCTGTGGGGCAGAGAGAGGGGCCGAGGCAGAGTGAAGCAGGGAGAAACAGAGCTTGGGGACAGGCTGTGCAGAAGGGAGGCATTTTTCTGGGCCCCCACAGCCCCCCAGGGCCTCTGCCATTACCCATGTCTGTTTCAACTCTGTATCCACACGCCTCCCCACTTATTTGTCCTTCAACTCCTTTGGAAAACTTCAGAGTCCTACCAGGCTGGGTCAGGCGCTTCCCCCTACCCCCACCCCCCATGCTCTGTGCTACCTTCACTCCAGCCAGGCACCCTGCGCCCTCCCACTGGTCTGACTCCGGATAGCTTTGCAAGGGGCATGAGTGCGGGTCAGCCAGGCACGGGGGCCTCCACCTCCTCACCTCGGACCTCCAGCTTGCACTCGGCCAGTGCCTCCCCCAGCTCGTTGACAGCCCGGCAGGAGTAAGTCCCTGCATCAAAGGGGGACGGGCGGCGGATGTTCAGCGTCAGGATGCCCTGGTAGTTGGTTATCAGGAACTTGGGATCTTCTCGGATCTCCATCTTGTTCTTCATCCAGATCACCTTCGGCTGTTGAGGGGAGCAGGAGAGGAGGCCGGCTTAGAGAGGGTCCCCTGGGCCACAGCAGAATGGGCCTTTGGGGGGGAAATCTGAATTCTCATTTTGGCTGCGCCACCTCCTAATTTTGGCTGGATGACCTTGGCCTGGTCACTTTTCTGATCCTCAGTCTCCTCTTCTATGAAAAGAGGAGCTTAGTTATTGTGTGTCCTGCAGGGCCCAGCACGACTTGGCCCATTGCTGCTCTACCCTCGCCTCCCTCTGCTCCAGCCACACCAGCCCCCTCACTGTTCCTCAAACAGACCACGAGGCTCCCACCTCAGGACCTTGGCACTGGCTGTTTCCTCTCCCAATCCTGCTCTTCCCTCCTCTTTCCCCCCATCAGCACCTGCCTGTCTCGGGTCTCAGCTCACACGTCACCCCAGCCTCCGCGCTGGGGCCTGCAGGCCTCTTTCGCTCATGGCTGCTTGTACTTCTCAGGCCCACTTACCACCCTTTATACTTTTGTAGTCACTTGTGTGACGTTGAATTAATGCTGCAGCCCCCAGCAGACGGGAACTTCGTACCCAATTCATCCGCACATAGAAAGCCTTTGACAATACGTGTCGAAATGATCAACGGAGTGGATGCATAAAGGAGTGAATGAATGGTGTAAATAAGCCTATGCCGTGAACGAATGAACTGAGTAAATTAATGGATTGGGAGGTAAATAAATGAGTGGAGTGATAGATGGAGATGAAGGAGGTGAACTAATAAATCTACAGTGTGCAGACAGGGACCAAAGCAAAAAACTGGGAAGTCAGACCAGAAGTCGGCAAACTCTGTGTGTAAAAGGCCAGGTAGTCGATATTTTAGGCTCTGTGGTCTCTGCGGCCATGGAGAATACACAAGCAAGTGTGCAGGGCCGTGTACCAATAAAACTTTATTTAGAGAAACTGGTGGCCGGTGCATTTGACCAGCTGGTTAAAAGTGAGCAAACTCCTTGAACTGAGAAGAGCTAAGCCCGGTGGATTTGACCAGCTGGTTAAAAGTGAGCAAACTCCTTGACTGAGAAGAGACAGAGAGGAAGAGGAGGTGTGAAGGGTTAGGGGCTTCATCTTGCTGAAGATTTCCCTCCAGGGTCACACACACACACACACACACACCTTCGGGTGGCCTCTGACGGCACAGTTGAGAGCAGCAGCATAACCAGCCACGACCACCCGGTCCAGCAGTGGCGTCAGGAACTTGGGAGGCATCCGGAAGTCATGTTCCTTGTACTCAGGCGGTTTCCAGGTGATACCTGGGGGAGGGGAGATGAGCCTGTAAGGCAACTGATCCTAATTGTTCCCCAACCGCCTCTCCTCGTCACCAGGTGCCATCAAGTTGGCGTCCAGGGTGGGGGCATGCAGAGGAGTCACAGTCACACCTCCCCTGAGGGGGGACTGGACCTGGAGGAGGGGAGTGGCCATACCTGTCTTGAGGATCTGGGCTGTGTTCTTGGAGACACCGGGGGAGTCACTGAGCCCACAAATGTTCTCACTGAAAACTCGGAAATAGTATTCGTTGCCCATGATGAGGTCAGCCACGGTACAGTGGGTTGGGCGGTTGTGTTCATACACGTTGAACCACTCCTAGCATGGGGAGAGGGTGCGGCCGGAAAGGTCAGGGACAAGGACAGAGAAGGGTGGGGGGAGGAAAGCACACCCAAGTGTGCTCCGAGCTAAGAAAAGCCGCCCTGCACAGCGGCCGGGAGATGGGAACAACCCAAATGCCCGTCAGCGGATGAATGGAGAAGCAAAATGTGGTAGCACCCAAGCCATGGATTATTACTCAGTCATGAAAAGGGAGGAAACACGGACACCTGGAAAAACATGAGGCTGAGTGAAAGAAGCCACCATTGTGTAATTCTGTTCCTAGGAAATGTCTAGAATAGACGAATCCACGGAGACAGGAAGCAGAGTGGGGGGTGTCCGGGGCTGGGTGGGGCCAATGGGGGTGTGACTGCTCATGGACACGGGGCTTCCTTTTGGGTGAGGAAAATGACTTGAGACTAGATAGAGGCGGTGATCGCACAACCCTGGGAATGTACCACATGTTGCTTTAAAACGAATGCTTCATTTTGTTAGGTGAACTTTATCACCATAAAAAAGAAAAACCGCCCTGGCCAGTTTGGCTCAGTGGTTAGAGCATCAGCCTGCGGTCCGGAGAGACCCGGGTTCGGTTCCCGCTAAGGGCACGAACTTCGGTTGCAGTTTGTCCCCGGCCCTGGTTGGTCGTGTGGGTGGCAGCCACTCGATGTGTCCCTTTCACATCGATGTTTCCCTCTCTCTCTCTTCCTCTCTCTCCCTCCCACTCTATCTGTACAAAAAATGGAAAAATATCCTCAGGTGAGGATAAAAAAAAAAAGAAAAACCCATGGTGCACCAAATCCCAGCCCAAAGCCTGCCCTTGCCGCTGCCCACTGTCCCAATCTCTGGGAGCCTCACTTTCATCCCCTGGATTGGCTGGGTTTCCTGCCCCCTGCCTCACCCGCCCTGGGTCGGGCCCTCTGGTATCTCACCATGGTTTTCTTGTCCGCTTTCTGAATGAAATACCCGGTGATCTCGCTGTTCCCGTCATCTTTGGGGGGCTGCCATTCCACCAGCGCGTTAGTGCCCCACACCTCCTTCACCATCACGTTCATGGGTGGCCCTGCCTTTTCTGGAAGGGGGGGTGGTTGCTACAGGGCAGCTCAAGCTCCCCCCCCCCCCCCGGCCTCCTCTCCCGACTGAGATCACGCCCCATGCCCACGACCTCCCCTCTTTGTACCTTCCCCCCTCACACCCTGCCTGTTGGTCTCTCCACGCCCCCCTCCTGGGCCATGCTCCTCACCGCCCACCCTGGCTCTCCCCGCACCGCCTCATCTGGCCCCTCCTGACCGGGGCCCCCTGCCCGCCTCGCCCACGCACCCACGACCCGGATGCGGATGGTGGCCGTGTCCTTCATGTTCTCGATCTGCACGTTCAGCTCATACGCCCCCGAGTCGGAGCGCGCCGCCTGGCGCACGAAGAACACGGTGTCGGTGTCGCTGGTGCGCACGTTCACGCGGGACGAGTCCACGGGCGCCCCGCCCTTCGTCCACACCACCTGGGGCCGGGGCTTTCCCTGCGTGGGCCGCGGGGAGCAGAGGTCAGCTGGGGGCTCTCCCGTGGGAACTGGCCCCTGACCCCCGACCCCGACCGCAGCCACGCACCTGGAAGGGGATGACGAGGTTGATGGACTCCCCTACTTTGCGGATGTAGGTCTGGCGCAGATGGCGGGGGAGGCGGATCTTGGGTTGCTCTGAGGACACCAACACCCCCAGGCTCAGCGCGGGGCTCCGGACACGCGGAGGGGGGAGGGGCCCTTGGCAGTGGAATGTCTGGAGGGGACCCCGAGGAGAGCCCGGGAGGACTGGCCAGCGACCGCTCACCTACAATCTCCCTGATGGTGACTGGCTGGGCCAGAGTGGCCGGCTCGCTGCGCCCCGCGATGTTCACCCCAACTACCCGGAAAATGATTCTGGCTCCCGTGGGAAGGTCCTTGACCGTGAAGCCACAGCGCTCCACCGGCTCGGTGTTAGCGGGGATCCAGTCCTCGGCTGTGAGAGAGGGGCCCTGCTGGGGTCTTCCTTCCAACCCTTCTGGAGCCCTGGCCGGCGTGGCTCGAGGTGAGTGCCGGCACCCCAAAGGGTCACCCCCGGTTCGCAGCAGGTACCTGGGTTCCAGGTGGGATCCCCCACCCCCACCCCGCCCCTGCTTGCGGGAGGCCACCAATTTTTATTTTTGTATCTCTCTCCAACATCAATGTTTCTCTTTCTCGTTCCCCTCCCTCCTTCTCTCCGTCCCACTCTTTCTAAAAAAAAAAAAAAAAATCAATGGAAAAAATGTCCTCAGGTGAGGAATAGCAAAGAGCAGTCCTGCCCGTGTGGCTCAGTGGTTGAGTGTGACCCAGGCATCAAGAGGTCACTGGTTCAGTTCCTGGTCAGGGCACGTGCCCAGGTCGTGGGCCTGATCTCCAGTGGGGGGCATGCAGGAGGCGGCCAATCGATGTTCTCTCTCATCGATGTTTCCATCTCTCTCCCTGTCACTTTCTCTCTCTCTAGAAATCAATAAAGAAAAAAACAAAAAAGAAAAGAAAACCTTCCTGTGAGCAAGCCCCTCAGCAGCTCCTCGTCCCTTCCATGCTTCAAAATAGCAACAGTTGACTTTTATTTTATTTTATTTTATTCTCACCCAAGGACATTTTTCCATTTTTTTGTTCAGATAGAGTGGGAGGGAGAGAGAGGAAGAGAAGAGAGAGAAACATCAACGTGAAAGGGACACATCGAGTGGCTGCCACCCACACGACCCAACCAGGGCCGGGGACAAACTGCAGCCAAGGTATATGCTCTTAGCGGGAACCGAACCCGGGTCTCTCTGGACCGCAGGCCGATGCTCTAACCGGTGAGCCAAACCGGCCAGGGCTTATTTTATTTTTTTATGTCTTTCTTTTTTTTTTAACTTCAGAAAAAGGAAGGGAGAGGGAGAGAGAGATACAAATGTGGATCGGCTGCTTCCTGCCTCCTACTGGGGTCCAGCCATCCCTTGCATCAAAGCCGAGACCTCCTGGGCCATGGGTCAACGCCCAATCCCCTGAGCCATGCCTGCGGGGCACAGTGGCTATTTATGAAGCACGTATGACCAGGTTCGAAAGCGTGAGCTCATTAGTCCCATTTCAGAGATGTGGAAATCGAGGCTCAGAGAGGGTAAGGAGCTGGGAAGCAGCTCTTTGATTTCCTGCCCCGTGGTGCGTGCCTGTCCATCTTGGGTTCCTCGCCATGGGCTGGTGAACCCAGTGTGGGTCAGACCAACACTAAGCAGGGTGAAGTCGAACAAGGGTAGGTTCTGAAACATCGGGGCAGCGGTGATACAGACCGGGTGGGGTCACCAAGGGTGGGAGTGGGGTAAAGAGGACAGGAAGAGAAAGAGGGCAGAAGCTGAGCAGAGTCCCACCATCCGTCATGTACATGCTTTTACCGAACGCCGTCGTCACTGTACCCTGTCGGGACGGGAACTGTCCGCCATCTTTAGATGAAGAAACTGAGGCTCGGACACTTGCCCAAGGTCACACAGCTAGAAAGTGTGGGGCAGGATTGGAACCCACATCTGTCTGACTTTAAGGCCTGGGATACGGTGTCAAGATGATCTCATCTGGTGATGGAAGGAGACTTGACTCGGGATGGTGAACACACAATACAATATACAGATGATGTATTATAGAATTGTACACCTGAAACCTACATAATTTTTTAAATGTTTTATTCATTGATTTAGAGAAGAGAGAAAGAGAAAGAGGGAGAGAGAGAGAGACAGACAGACAGACATCAATTTGTTGTTCCACTTATTCATGCATTTACTGGCTGATTCTTGTGTGTGCCCTGACTGGGGATCCAACCCACAACTTGGGCGTACGGGGACGGTGTTCGAACCAACTAAGCTACCTGGCTAGGGCTAAACTTATATAATTTTATTAACCAATGTCACCCACAATAAATTCAGTAAAAACGTTTTTAAAAAGGTGACCTCGCCCTGGCCGGTTTGGCTCAGCGGTTAGAGTGTTGGCCTGCGGTCCGGAGAGACCCGGGTTCGGTTCCCGCTAAGGGCATGTACTTCGGTTGCAGTTTGTCCCCGACCCTGGTTGGTCGTGCGGTGGCAGCCACTCGATGTGGTCCTTTCACATCGATGTTTCTCTCTCTCTCTCTCTCCCTCCCACTCTATCTGTACAAAAAAAAAAAAAAAATGGAAAAATGTCCTCGGGTGAGGATAAAAAAATAAAAAATAAAAAAAATAAAAAAATAAAAAGATGACCTCATCTGTCTTCCTAGTGAGACAACCGTGTTGGAAATCTCTCCATTCGCTGTGGCACCGGGCCTGGCATGGAGTCAGTTCTCAGGGCTCGTTCGTCTCGTGGGGGATGGGGAGTCGATGTGTGGACATATGAGTGGGCGGATGGAGAGAGGGTTGGATGGTCACACGGATAAATGGACGCATGGAAAGAAGGAAGAAAGGGAAGGGGAGAAAGATGGCAGTGAAGAGAGATTTACGGATTAAAAAAAGCTACTGGCAAGATGTATCACTGGGTGATCCAAAAGATTTTTGGACAGATAGATGGTTGGATGGATGACTAAGTGGGCAAGTGCGAGAAAAGAAGGAAGGAGGGAGGCAGGGAGGGAGGGAAGGAAGAAGAGAAGGAAGGAAGGAAGGAAGGAAGGAAGGAAGGAAGGAAGGAAGGAAGGAAGGAAGAAATGGAGAGAAGGAGAAATAAAAGAAGGAAAGATGGATGGATGGATGATGGATGGATGAATGGATAGAGGATGGATGGAGGATGGATGATGGATGATGAATAAATGAGTATAAGAGATGAAGAAAGAATATAGCTAGTAGATAAATACTTGGATGGAAGGATAGATGGATGGATGAGAAGGTATTGCTGAGTGGAGGATGGGTGCAGGGGAGGGAACAAGAGAGGAAGGGGAGAGGAGGGAGACAGGGAGGGAGACAGGGAGGGAGATAGGAGAAGCTGATCAGTGTGGGCCTGGCTGGACCCATCCCATCTCAGGGATTCACATAAATACAGATCCCACAGGGGCAGCTCACTGCCCCCCAGATCAGTCCCTGCACTGCCCTACGTTCAGTCCCGGGACTAGACACCCGCTGGGGTCCGTGTGAGCCACGGCGCCCCCAGACCTGACGGGTCACTCACAGTCCTCCAGGCAGTACTCCACCAGGTACCCATCGATGCCGCCTGCCCCGATCCTGTCTGGGGGCCTCCACTTGAGGGTGGTGGTGGTGTCTGTCACGTCCTCCACTGTCAGGTGCCGAGGTTCACTGGTAGGCGCTGTAAGAATCCAGGGAAAAGAGAGGTGGGAGTCAATTTGGGGTCAGGGGTCAGCAGGGAGTGTCAGGGGTCAGAGTTGGAGTCACTGGTCAGAGTGGGATCAATATGGTGGGTCATAGGTCACTGAGCAAAGATGTGTCATCAACGGTCATTAAAACAAGATATCAAGGAATAGTGAGGTCTCCGGGGGCAGAGATAGGTGTTAGTCTGCTAGGTCAGAGGTCAGTGGGCTAGCCGGGCAACAGCACAGAGTCTAGGACCACAGAGGTCAGTAGCTGATGTACTGCAGTGGCCAGGAAGAGGTCAGGTGGGTGGGTGAGGCTAAGGGTCAATGTGTTGGGTTGTTGGATGAGAGGCGACAGAAGTCAGCAGATTCTGTGGGGTCAAAGGCAGGGTGTAGGGTCGGAGATCGATGAGAGACGCGTGGGTCAGAGGTGGAAGGGATTAGTAAGGGGGTAGAGGGGCGTCACCAATAGGCATGAAGGGCTTGCTGTTGACACTGGGCTGGGACACCCCGATCGCGTTGACAGCAAAGACCCGCATCTCGTACAGGACGCCCTCAATCATCTTGGTGGCCTCGTAGGTTGTGTCCGTGAAGACCTCGAAGTTCAGCTTCATCCAGCGCTGAGAGCCCTTCTTCTTCCGCTCCACGAGGTACCCTGGATGCCCCCCAAGCAGAAAGGAGCGAGCGGTCATGGAGAGGCCATGGAGGGGGTCACAGGTCAGCTGGGGCAGGGAGGGTCACATCCCAAAGCCACATGACCCAGAGAGGCCTGAGATCATGAATCTTGGGTTGATCTTAAGGTCACTAGCAGTCAGAGGTCACCAGTCATGGGGTCAAGGGTCAAGCAGGGTCACAGGTCAGGGCATCCGGGGTCAGAGAAACTCCCAGGCTACTGATCCAAGTGAGGATTCCTAGGTCATTAAGGAGTAAAGAGCTTCGCAAAGACCAAAGGGATTGAGAGATGCCAGAGATGGAAACCAGGTCTCAGAGGGGGGGCCCTGAGGATGCTAAGGACTCTCGCAGCTCAAAGAGAAATCAGGGGGTACAAGAGGTCAGAGGTCAGAGGAGCTGTGGCACACAAGACTCACCAGTGACTGGTTGCCCTCCGTCATACTTAGGCGGGTCCCAGACAATGATGGCCCAGTCCTCTCCCACTGAGGTGACACGCACAGCCTCCGGGGGGTCTGGGACATCTAGGGGGGAGGCAGTAGAGTCAGGGGGCCCCTCCCGGCCTCAGGGAACCACCCCAAACTCCGCTCCTCTGGCTCTCTCTGCTCACCCACAACCCGCACGAAGATGGAGGCCACGTCCTCGCCCGCGGGGTTGGCGACCTTGATGGTGTAGCGGCCCTCGTCCCCGCGCTGGGCGCTCTCGATCACGAAGCTGCTGCACTCCAGGCGCTGCTCGATGCGGGTCCTGCCCTCCTTGGCCGAGAACACCTGGACACAGCCGCCACGTCGTCAGCCTCGTCCCAGACCCGCACCTGCCGCTGCCCCTCCCCTGCTCGAAGCTGCCCGTCTCCGCGCCCTCCGCGCGCAAGGCTGTGGACCTCCGGACCTGCCGCGGCCTCATCACTCCTTACTGCTCCCCTCGCCCTCCGAACACCACCCCAGACGGAAACCACCAGACCGGCGTGCCAACACCTATCCCTGCTCTGCTGTTGCTCGTTCTTTTTTCCTTCTTTATTGGTTTTGAGAGAGCGAGGAAGGGAGAAGGAGAAAGATGGAAACATCGATGAGAGAAAAACAACAACTGGCCGCCTCCTGCGTGCCCCCTACTGAGGATCAGGCCCGCAACCTGGGCATGTGCCCCTACCCACCGGGAGTCGAACCGGTGACCTCTGGTGCATGGGTCGACGCTCAACCACTGAGCCACACCGGCCGGGCATTACTCGTTCTTTACAACCTGCCGAGAAGTCACCTCTTCCAGGAAGCACTCTGGGATGCCCTCAATGGAAAGTGATGGCCCCCTCCCCCTGGACTGCGACTATTTGGGCAGGTGTCTGCCTCCTTCCCAAAGCGAGGACTTCGGGAAGGCAGGGGCTGCACGCGACAAATGGCTATAACCTCAGTGCCTGCTCAGAGAGACATAAAGGAAAGCCCAGAGGTGTTTGCCGAGGGAAAGAGTGAACGAAGACTGAGTCTGTCCCTTTTACAGAAGAGGAAACGAAGCCCAGAGGAGAGAAGACACATTGAACTGTCCCAGGGTCCGGAACATACAAGGTAAAAGTACTTGTTGGATGGATGGATGGGTGGATGGATGGATGGGTGGATGGATGGGTGGATGGATGGGTGGATGGATGGATGGATGGATAACTGGGCTGGCTGATGAATAAACAGACAAATTGATTAAGTACTGGATGAACAGATAGATAGATGAATTAATCATTAACTGACGAATGGGAAGATGGATGGATAGAGGAACCACCGTGTGCTAAGACAGCACATGTGAGGGACATAGTAATCTCCAATCTTCAAGCAACCCTCTGAAGAAGGAATCACAATCCCCGTTTTACAATGAAACTGAAGCTCAGAGAGGGAAAGCAACTTGCCTAGCGTTGCCCAGCAGAGCTGAGAGGGACAGAGAGTGCACAGGCGAAGCCCCTCCATACCTCGTCCCCCTTCAGCCAGGTGACCTCAGGAGGGGGCTCCCCTGTGATGGCAACATCCAGCCTCAGCTTGTTTCCAGCCACAACCACGATGGAATTTTCTGAGGTCTTCCCCGAGCAGTCCAGGTGGATCTTTGGTGGTTCTGGTGGCAGAGACGAGATTCTGGGGAACTTGGGAGTGTGCAGCTGGGCTGTCCCAGAGCCCTCCAGAGGATCTCCTGAGGAGCTGGGTTCCAACAGCCATAGAGACCCAGGAGCCCAGGCCCCAGCCCCTCCTCCCTCAGACCCAGGAGTCCAGGCCCCCGGCCCCTCCTCCCTCAGACCCAGGAGTCCAGGCCCCCGGCCCCTCCTCCCTCAGACCCAGGAGTCCAGGCCCCCAGCGCCTCCTCCCTCAGACCCAGGAGCCCAGGCCCCCAGCCCCTCCTCCCTCAGACCCAGGAGCCCGGGCCCCCAGCCCCTCCTCCCTCAGACCCAGGAGCCCGGGCCCCCGGCCCCTCCTCCCTCAGACCCAGGAGCCCAGGCCCCCAGCCCTCCTCCCTCAGACCCAGGAGTCCAGGCCCCCGGCCCCTCCTCCCTCAGACCCATGAGCCTGGGCACCAGTTACCAAAGCAACCCTGGTCCTTACCTTGCTTGGGGACGTACTCCACCTTGATTTCTGGTGAACACAGAAGACTGGATGATTAGGTCTAAAATCCAGTGGGCCCCTTATCCCACCTTCACACCCCAGAGGCAGAGGGGAGGGTCTGGCGTCACCCTGGCACCTGCTCAGGTCTGTGACTGTCCCCACATGTCCCCCACATGGTCTCGCTGCGGCAGATACAGTGCTTCCCTCATGTTCTGTCTGTCTGTCTCCGAGACTGGCAGATGCCTGCTGCCCTGTGCCCCTCCCCCACCCTGTGCGCAGTCAGGGAAACAGAATCCTGCAGGGGACATTCGGGCCCTGGGGGGAAACAAAGGGGCCTCCTCACCCAGGAAGTTGAGCTTGGCTGAGAGAGACAGGGCGTAGCCATCGGGCACGAATGTGTAGTCTCCCTCGTCCTCCGGGCGGACGTCATCGATCACCAGCTTATGAATCCTAAGGGGTCAGGGGCACGGGTATGGGGCCACCAGGCGGCCCTGGGGTCACCATGGAGAAACATCCTCCTCAGTGTCATTTACATGCTCACACCCACCCTTTGCAGTCCTGGCCTTGGGTGTGCTGGGTTCAAATCTCAGCGTTGCCCCTTCCTAGCTGTGTGACGTCGGGCTTTACTTAACCTCTCTGTGCCTCAGGTTTCATCTATAAAATACAAGTAACGATAACAATCCACACCAGGGTTGTAAAGCATTTAGAAAACTCCCTGGCATTTAGTGAGTGCCCTATATGCTTCCGGATTCCTTCTGGTCATTTTTTAAAATATGTTTTTATTGATTCTCTAGTCTAGGGAGAGGAAAGGAGAGAGAGACAGGGATGGCAACATTGACGAGAGAGAAACCTGAATCCGCTGCCTCCTGCACAATCGAGCCCTGACCGGGAATCAAACCAGCGACCTCGTGGCGCACGGGATGATGCTCAATCCACTGAGCCACGCCAGCCGGGCCCTTCCTGTCGTTACTGAAACCACCGGCAGGCAGGGTTCCTTACACAGAGCCCAGAGAAAGCCTACATCCGCCCAGAGCTACTGGCAGGAAAAACCCACAGGGACACGAGGTTCCTTGGGCACCGTGGTGGCCTCGCCTTCCACAGACAGCCAGGGGTTTGTCTCAGGTGTCCACGTGCTACCTGTTGGATTCCAGCCCCCTGTTTCCTTAGCTCAACCCCCCCATAGCAGACTATTTGCAAATAGGGCCACAAGTGTTCCCCTCCCTCCACCCATGCCCCTGGCCAGGATGCAGCCTTTGACTTCCTTTCCCCAGTAGAGTCTGGAGGAAGTCACATGGCGACAGTCCCCAGCCCAGGCTACAGTGTTCCCTGGCACTCCCTCAGAACCGGGACTAGCCCCACGAGATGAGGCATCCCAAGGACCAGCATGAAGGCAGCCTGGTTCTCCCAGCCCAGGTCCCAGCAGAGCACAGGACAACAAGCAGAGTGGACACAGCTCACCACAGAAGCACGAGAAAAGCCATCCTAGATCAGCCAGCCTCCCACCAGCCCACTGACTCCATTACATAAGTCCTTGTTCTCTGAAACCACTAAGTCCAGGGATGGTCGTTATGCAGCGAGAGCTAGCTGACACACACCGCGTCCCCCAGCCACCTCCACCAGCTACTCCATACCTCCCCACGTGGGAGATGGTGATCCTCTTGCTGGGCCGCACCTCGATCCCGTTTTTGTACCACTTGCCCGTCACCTTCGCATCAGACACCTCGCACCTGAACACGGCCTGATCAGAGGCCTTCACCGTCAGATCCGCGATGTCCTGCAGGACCTCCAGCTGTTTCTCTGGACAAGGACAGAAGGAGATGGGGCCATCACAACTCCAGTCAGTTCACAAATATTTGCGAGCACCCATTATGCGCCACAGACTGCTCCAGGCACTGGGGATACAGCCATGAACAACCCAGAAACAATCTGCGGGCCTCGTGGAGCTCAGGTTCTAGCTGGGAGACAGTGAACAAGGAAGCACAGAAACATGTAAGAAGAGGGAGTGATGAAGCCCAAGGGAAGGCAGGGATGAGTCCACAGGAGGATGCAGGAGTCTCAAGGTAGAGAGGACAGCATGTGCAAAGGTCCTGTGGAGCAAAACAGGCTTGTTGGTGCAGAAAGAACAAGCAGACCAGTGCAGACGAGCAAGGCAGCTGTGGTAGAAGATGAGATGGGCCGGACAGATGCAGCCAGATCCTGGGGCTTGTGAGCCCTAGAGAGGACTTTGTGGTGAATCTTAGCCTGGCAGGAGCCACGCAGGGTGATGGAAAGACAGCTAGGATCTGACTTACCTTTTTTTTTTTTTTTTAATTTATCCTCACCTGAGGACATTTTTCCATTTTTTGTTCAGATAGAGTGGAAGAGAGAGAGAGAGAGAGAAACATCGACGTGAAAGGGACACATTGAGGGGCTGCCACCCGCATGACCAACCAGGGCCGGGGACAAAATGCAACCGAGGTACGCGCCCTTAGCAGGAACCGAACCCGGGTCTCTCTGGACCGCAGGCCGACGCCCCAACCGCTGAGCCAAACCGGCCAGGGCTGACTTACCTTTTTTTATTTTTTATTTTTTGGTACAGGCCCCTAGTGGGAACCGAACCTGGGACTCTCTGGTCCGCAGGCCGATGGTCCGACCTCTGAGCCAAACTGGTCAGGGCCTGACTTACATTTTTTTAATCTGTATTTTTTAAATAAAACAGTGCAGTCCTAGTCGATGTGGCTCAGTTGGTGGAGCATTGTCCTGTGCACCAAAAGGTCACAGGTTCAATTCTCAGTCAGGGTGCATACTCAGGTTACAAGAGGCAACTAGTGGATGTTTCTCTCTCTCTCTCTCTCTCTCTTTCTCTGTCTCTAAAATCAATAAAAAATATATCTTTAAGTGAGGATTTAAAAAATACCTTAGAAAAAGCAATGCACTTACATAGTTCAAAAATAAAGTAAGAAGAGCCAGGTCAGTATGGCTCAGTGGGTTGAGTGTTGACCCATGAACCAAGAGGTCGCCAGTTCAATTCCCAGTCAGGGCACATGCCCGGGTTATGGTCAAATCCCCAGTGGGGGGCATCCAGGAGGTGGCCAATTGATGTTCTCTCTCATTGATGTTTCTATCTCTCTCTCCCTCTCCTTTCCTCTCTCTCTAAAATCAATAAAGAAAAATAAATAAAGTATGAAGAGCCCTGGCCAGTGTGGTTCAATGGGCAGAGCATCAGCCTGCCCACCAAAGGGTCATGGGTTTGATTCCTGGTCAAGGGCAGGTACCTAGGTTGCAGGTTTGATCCCCACCCCAGCTGGGGCGTGTACGGGAGGCAACTACATGATGTGTCTCTCTCACATCGATGTGTCTCTCTCTCTCCCTCCCTCCCCTGCTCCTTTCCACTCTCTCTAAAAATCAATGGAAAACTCACTCAAGGATTAACCAAAAAAATTTTTATTTTTAAAGAATAGGGTTGAAAGAGGACTTAGATATACAGGGGAAATCTCATACCCACCTGTTTACAATCACCTAAACCTAGGTCCCTTCTCTGAAGGATCGTCCTATGAAAGATGTGCGTAGCCCTGGCCGGTTTTGCTCAGTGGTTAAAGCGTCAGCCTGTGGTCCAGAGGGACCCGGGTTCAGTTCCCGCTAAGGGCACGTACCTCGGTTGCAGTCTGTCCCCGGCCCTGGTTGGGTCGTGCGGGTGGCAACCACTTGATGTGTCCCTTTCACGTTGATGTTTCTCTCTCTCTCTCTGCCTCTCTCTCCCTCCCACTCTATCTGAACAAAAACTGGAAAAAATGTCCTCGGGTGAGGATAAAAAAAAAGATGTGCATATACATTTTCTTTCTCTCCTCCCCTCCTCTCTCCCCCCATATACAAATCATACCAAATTTGCTTTTTCTCCTAACAATACATAGCGGGTGCTTAAATAATGTCACTTTGTTATAACATTGATCAGACGTCGTAGGAACTTAACTCTTGCTTTCCATCACTTAGCCTGTGGGAACATTGGTTTCGTTATGTGTCATTTCGCTGCAGTTTTAAGAACTGACTGACGACCGTTAAAGGGAGGGTTTACTGTACCTTGGAAATACTTCCCCATCAGTAAATTAAAAACTGCCCCTTATATGGCCACATATGGATGTGACAATTTATTTAGTCTATAAATGACTTGAGTTTTTTTCATATTTAAAGAATTACAGGCTCTGCCCTGGCCGGTTTGGCTCAGCAGTTAGAGCGTTGGCCTGCGGTCCTGAGAGACCTGGGTTCGGTTCCCGCTAAGGGCATGTACCTTGGTTGAAGTTTGTCCCCGGCCCTGGTTGTGGGTGGCAGCCACTCGACATGTCCCTTTCACGTCGATGTTTCTCTCTCTCTCTCTCCCTCCCACACTCTATCTGAACAACAAGAACAAAAAAAAAATAGAAGAATTGCAGGCTCACAGGAGTGTGCGGAAATAGGGCATAGAGTCCCACCTACCCTGCACCCAGCTTCCCCTGATGGTGACCACATCTTAGACAACCATAGTCCGATAGTCAATGCAGGAAATGCACGTGGGTACGATACTGTCACCTAGACGACAGAATGTGTTCAGTTTTCACCATCGGACTTACATAGTACAAAGATCACTCTGGCAGGGGTATGTGTGCGTGCGTGTGTGCGTGTGTGTGTGTGTGTTTGTGTGTGTGAGTGATGCGGGACAGGCGTGGAAACCGAGCAACCAGTGAGGAGACTACTGCAATGGTCCGAGCAGGAGGGGATGGAGACCGGGGCCCGGGAGGGCCACGGAGGCGGGGGAAGTCACATTCAGCATCTCCTTGGAGGACTTGCTGGTGGACTGCATGCAGAGCGAGAGGCAAAGAGAGGCGTCGGGGACAATTCCAACATGTGGGGCCTGAACAGCTCTGAGCAGCAAGAAGCATGTACCATGCGGCCCCGGCCCCACCCGGAGGCCCCGTACCTTCCACAATGAGATCCGCCTCACACTGGCCGCCGTTGGTTAGGACCTTGAAGCGACCCCCATCCTCCAGGCTCACTTCTGAGAAGATGAGAATGTGACGCTTCCCATCTTTCTTGAAGCGGAACCGCGCCTTGTAGGCGTCCTCCTTGGTCATCTCCACGCCATCTTTCATCCTGGGCAGAGGGGGCATGAAGGGGGGGTGAGGGGCCCACACAGCCCTGGGTCTGGATGTCAGAGGTGAGTCAGGGGCCAGAGGGAAGTCCTCAGTGGGGGTCGGGAGCCCAAAGGCAGGTCACAGGAGGGAAGAGAGATTAAGGCTGGCAGAGGCATCTTGAATGAATGGGTCACAGGTGGGGGTCATGGAGAGAAGAGGAGGAGGTCACAGGCCACCAGGAGATGCCTCAAGGTCTCAGTTGTAAGTCAGGGGACACAAAAAAAGGTCATGGGGACAGAGCATGGAGGAAGTCCTGAGGTCACAGAGAAATGTCAAATGTGGCCTCTGTAAACGGCGCTTCCCCTGCCTGGGACACTCCTTTCTCCCTACTTGTCTTCTGCCTCCTCACTGTTCAAATCTCAGCTCAATCGTCACCTCCTCCAGGAAGCCTTCCTGACTTCCTGAGTCCCTTCTTCCCATTAAAAAGTAGTTATAGGCCCTGGCTGGTTTGGCTCAGCGGTTAGAGCGTCGGCCTGCGGTCCAGAGAGACCCAGGTTCGGTTCCCGCTAAGGGCACGTACCTTGGTTGCAGTTTGTCCCCTGGCCCTGGTTGGGTTGTGAGGGTGGCAACCACTCGATGTGTCCCTTTCACGTCGATGTTTCTCTCTTTCTCTCTCTCTCCCACTCTATCTGAACAAAATAAAAAAAATTTTAAAAAGTGGTTATAGCCCAGCTGGTGGGGCTCAGTGGATTAAGCATCGGCCCATGGACTGAGAGGTCCGGGTTCAAGTCCATCCATCCATCTACTTATCCATCTGTCCACTTATCTACTTATCCATCCATCCATTATCCGCCCGCCCACTTACCCACCCATCTACCCATCCATTCATGTGTGCTCACTGGTTGAGCGTGGACCCAGGCACCAAGAGGTCACTGGTTTGATTCCCAGTCAGGGCACATGCCCAGGTGGTGGGCCAAATCCCCAGCAGGAGGCGGCTAATTGATGTTCTCTCGCATAGACGTTTCTATCTCCCTCTCCCTCTCCCTGTAAAATCAATAAAGGGAAAAAAATTTTTTAAATTAAAAAGATCGGGCCCTGGCCGGTTTGGCTCAGCGGTTGGAGCGTCGGCCTGCGGTCCAGAGAGACCCGGGTTCGGTTCCCACTAAGGGCATGTACCTCGGTTGCAGTTTGTCCCCAGCCCTGGTTGGTCATGCGGGTGGCAGCCACTCGATGTGTCCCTTTCACATCGATGTTTCCCTCTCTCTCTCTCTTCCGCTCTCTCCCTCCCACTCTATCTGTGCAAAAAGTGGAAAAATGTCCTCGGGTGAGGATTAAAAAAAAAAAAAAATTAAAAAGATCGGGCTGATGCAGAGAAGCTGTGGGCACTGGGGTGGAGATCAGGGGTGGAGAGTCACTCACCACATGACCTGGGCACCCTCTTCTGACACCTCCACTGCCATTTCCACTCGGTCACCCACGAATACCTGCTGGTCCTCAAGGGGTGTCACAATCAGGACGGGAGGTTCTGTGGGCACAGGCGGCAGGAGGTCAAGTAGTTTCAGGACCCCCTCCAGAACCCCAGTCCCCAAGCTCAGGCCCAAATCCCGGCCTCACCTCTGACGAAGAGCTCGGTGAGACACCTCTCGTCAGCAACGGCGACTTCATACGCAGCATCATCCGCCAGCGTGCACTTGTTGATGGTGAGAATTCGCTTCTTACCAACGTTCTCAAAAATGTACCTGGTGCAGAAATCTCACCTCAACCCAGGGCACGGAGCAGACCCCCGCCCTGGGGGAGATCCGCCAGCAGCTGGAGTCACTCCCGCTCGGAGACAAATCGTGTGGGAGGAGATAGATGGTCCAACTTCTCTATTTCAACACCCACCGAGGAAATGCTAAGGGTTTGGCCATCCCCATCCTCTCCTTCCGCTTAGCAGTGGCACAGAGCAGCTCACCTAGGAAGCCCCACTTCCCAGCCTCCTTTGCAGCTGGGAGGGCTGCACCGCTGAGCTTGGGCCAATGGACCTGGGTGGATATGCTGTGTGTAACTGCTGGGTCACCTGCAACTTTGAGCGCTTGCTCTGGACTTTTCTTCTTCCCCCTTCCTGTCCACCGGACACAGATGTGCCCAGCCTCAGTCATGCAGAGGGCGGAGCCAAAAGTATGAAAATTGGGTCACTGGAAAGTCGCTAAAGGAGCTGGCCCACCTGCTGCCATCAACTAGAATCACATCCCTAACTAAACGGACTCTAGGGACTTTGTTACAGCGACTGCACCTTAACTAATACAACTTTTTATCTAACCGCAAACCGAGAAAACACAATCAAAGAAAAAATAATAACAACAGTTCGGCCTGTGGTTGGTGTCAGCCCAGGCACCAAGAGGTCGTTGGTTCGATTCCTGGTCAGGGCACCTGCCCAGGTTGTGGGCCAGATCCCCAGTGGGGGGCACGCAGGAGGTGGCCAATCGATGTTCTCTCTCATCGATGTTTCTATCTCTTTCTCCCTCTCTCTCTCAAATCAATAAATGAAAAAAAAATTTTTTTTTAAATAATAACAACAAAAAAGAACCCATCCATAACTGCCCCACCAAATGCAAATATTTTGGCCTCTATCTTCCCGATCTTAAGTAACATTTTGTGACGCAGAAATGGGAACTGTGCTTTGGCACATAATAATCTTTTTTTTTTTTTTCTAATATGTTTTATCGATTTTACAGATAGAGGGAGAGATAGAAACATGGAGAAACATCCATCAGCTGCCTCCCACACGCCCCCTACTGGGGATCGAACCTGCAACCCCAGCGTGTGCCTGGTGACCCTTGGTGCATGCTCAAGGGAAGATGCTCAACCAACTGAGCCACGCCCCGGGTTGCACATAATAAACCTGAACAGCTTTCCAAGTTAGCATATCTTTATTTATTTTATTTCATTTTTATTGATTTTTGAAGAGAGAGGGAAGGTAGAGGGAAAAGACACATCGATGAGAGAGAACATTGACTGGCCGCCTCCTGCATGCCTCCCACTGGGGGTCTGGCCCACAACCTGGGCATGTGCCCTGACCAGGAATCGAACTGGTGACCTCCTGGTGCATGGGTCGAGGCTCAACCACTGAGCCACACCGGCTGGGCTCAAGTTAGCATATATTTTAGAATATCTTTTACTGCACAGAACCTGAGTATGGGATTGTACATTTCGGTTGTTTTCCATGTTTTGCTACAAATAGCAAATGCTTCAGTGAGCATCCTTGCTACTACATGCACTTAACCACGACAGTCCCCTTATGACAAATACCTAAGATCGCAGCACTGCCGTTTCAGGGACTTGGCGATTTACTTCCCACCGGCGGCATGTGTGGACCCATTTCCCTTGTCTTCTCCTGTGCCCGGCTGTATCCTTTTCTAAAGTCTTTGCCCCTCTGGGGAGCAGAAAGACTGTTGTTTTCATTTGCCTCACTATTGCTATTATGGTTATTATTTGCAAGATGGTACGTGTACTTCGTAGCATATTGGCTGAACTGAATATCTCAACTGAATTCCTGGTCTTCAGTGTCTTTTGTCTATTTTTCTACTGAGATAGTTGCACTTGGGAGGGGGGGCAGTTAATCCTCACCCGGGGATATTTTTTCCATTGGTTTTTTAGAGAGAGTGGAAGGGAGAAAGGAATGGAGGAAGGAGGAAAGAGAGAGAGACACACACACACACACACATATACACACACACACACCCCAATATGAGAAAGACACATCGATTGCTTGCCTCCTGCGTGCACCTTGACCGGGGCCAGGATCAAATCTGCAACCCAGGGATGTGCCCTTGACTAAGCATTGAACTCGTGAACCTTCGATGTGTGGGCCGATGCTCTAACCACTGATCCCACCGGCCAGGGCGGTATTTGCACTTTTCACATGGCTGAGGCAGCGCCCTTTCTGGGTGGCCAGGCTTATTTCTGGGGGCTCTCTCTGGGCCCCAGATCCGCCCCACCCAGGGACTGCCCCACACATGTACTTGCTACTTGGCTTGATCTCCTGGCCATTCTTGAACCACTTGAGCGGAAGGTCTGGGTCGCTGATCTCCACCACCAACTTGATCTTGTCGCCCTTGTCCACTTGGTAGGCTGGGTCCAGCTTCTTCGTGAAGGCTGGCGGTTGAGGGGTGTGCACAGCACAGAGCTAAGAGGTTGTCACTGCCTTGGCCATTCCCAGAGCTGCCAACTCTCCCTCCCCAGAACACGGGCTCTCCAATGTCAAGGTCAAGAAGCCTCCAGTGAACTTGGAGGTCCCTGAGAACAGGACTCTATTACTTTTCAGATCGGGTCCAACAAAAAAGGGTCCAGGGTCCCAACATCAGATACCCATGATGCTGCGGTTCTTATGGGCCAGGCCCATCTCCCTCAGACTGTCACTGACCTTCACTCTTTTTGACCTCGACCTTGGCCTTCTTGAGCCGCTTCAGCATGCCCCGGAGGTCGGTGATCCCGTACTGGAAAGCGATCTTCTCGTACTCGCTCTTCTTCGCACCTTTCAGGAGCTCCCAAATCTCAGGCGGGATGCCCAGGTCATCATCGTCTTTCTTTTTTTTCTTCTCCTGCTCAACAACCTCCCTGAGGGTGGGGAGAACCAGCCAAGCCACCATGGGGTCTCCCTCTGCCTTCTCTACCCACGTGCTGTGTGACTTGCCCTTGTCACTGTCTGTCTCTGGGCCTGTGATGGTTTATTCTCTCCCTTCTGGACCATCACCCCAGCCTCCTCCCCGGCCTCCTGGCCTCCGCCCCGTCTCTCTCCCTCCAGTCTGTTCCCCACGTGGCCCAGAGGGATATCTCTGACCTCCATATCAGATGCCATCCCTTCCCTGGTCAGAGCTGGGTGGCTGAGTGTGATGGCAGATGGACAGAAGGACAGGAGGACGGATGGGAAATCGGTGGGTAGGTGAACAGATATGTGGGTAAATGGACAGGTAGGTGGATAAATGGATTAGTCGATGGATAAACAGGGAGCTGGGTAGATGGATGGAGGAGACGGGTTGAGGGGTGGAAAGACATATGGCTGGAGAGACAAGTGGATGAGAAGGTAGACTGCAGCCTGGTGGACAGGAAGTGGATGTAGGATGAAGGGTTAAAGGGTGGGCAGGTAGGTGAATTGGTGGGCACACGGTTGGGTGGCTGGGTGGGCGGGCAGTGGCTGGATGGAGGAGGAGGAGGGGTGGGCAGTGGGGAAGATCAGGGGTGCCCCACCCTTCTCCTTGAACCTCATCTTCTCTCCCTGTGCCGGGTGAGGTGGGCTCACCTCTTCTTCAACAGGCCACTGAAGTCCAGCTCACCGGCGTCTTCGGACTTCGCGTCACCCCTGTGGCCATTGGGGGGGGGTGAACTCTGAGGTCCTCCCAGACACATGTTGGGTCCCCACTTCTCGCTATCCCCGATCCTCCCTTCTCCCAAAGGGAGCACCCATCTCCCCGGAGTCCAGGGTCACTTACGAACGTTTGAACTCTTCCAGGACCGGCCCAGAGGAGTCCTGAGTGGCTGCGGAGCGGCAATGGGGGAAGAAGGGGAGCTGAGACACACCCCGATCCAAGACCAAGAGCACTCTCCGTGCCCACGCCACCTCCTCCAGGCCTCTGCCCAGCTCGGACCAGCACACCCTCCCGCTGAGGCCCAGACACCCTCTCCTCTAGACACATGTCCCTGACCATGCGCCACCCTCTCTCGGCAGCCTCCCCACACCTGGGCCAGCATACCCTCCTCCTCAGGCCTGGGCAACCTCATTCCCTGGGCCCTCCAGGTGTAAGCCCCCACACATGCTGGGCTATAGACCCCCCAGAGCCTGTACACCTCAGGGTTCCATACATGGGCCCCCAAATCTGTGTCACCTCCCTTACTCTGGACCGGGACACCCTCGCTCTCCAGGCCCTATATCCCTCACCCTGGACCGGGACACCCTCGCTCTCCAGGCCCTGTACCCCTCACCCTGGACCGGGACACCCTCGCTCTCCAGGCCCTGTACCCCTCACCCTGGACCGGGACACCCTCGCTCTCCAGGCCCTGTACCCCTCACCCTCGACCGGGACACCCTCGCTCTCCAGGCCCTGTACCCCTCACCCTCGACCGGGACACCCTCGCTCTCCAGGCCCTGTACCCCTCACCCTCGACCGGGACACCCTCGCTCTCCAGACCCTCACTGCTCCTTTCTCCAGCCCTGAATCCCTGGACCCCGCAATGTGCACGCCGTGCCGCCTGAGCCTTTGCAAGCACACCCGAAAACCCCAACCCCCTTCACCCCTCAGGCTCTAACCACGCAGCCCGTCTCCTCAGCTGGAACACCCTGGCCTCCGAACCTGTACTCCCTCCTCTAAATCCCTGTGCCTGCCTCACCCCCACATCTGGATGCCCTGCTACACCTGTGCCCCACCCCAGACCCCAAGCCCCCGCGCCCCCGCCAGCGCACCCTCCACATCGATGTTGAAGCTGCAGCTGTCGCAGATGTCCTTGGCTCTGACCTCGAGGCGGTAGTCGCCGCGGTCCCCCAGTACCACCTTCCCGATGCGCAGTTCCAGGGTGTACACCTGGGGGCCGGGGCCAGCAGTGTGGGTGCACATGACCATGCCCATCACCACCCCACATCCCCAGGGCCCACCCACAACTCTCTCTCCAAGCCCCCCCCCCAGCCACAGCTGTCTGTCCCTTGCCTGCTTGCCCTTGACCCTGGAGGCCATGCCCCTGACCTGAGACTTGACTGGGATGCACACACCGCCCAAGTGCAACCTGCCTCAGCCCACGGTCTCCCTTCCTGCCCAGCACGGCCTCTACCAGGCACCCGGACGGCTCCCATCCATGCCTGGAGGGCCCATTCTCCACCGACGGGAATCCAGGCCTGTGATTATGCGTCAGGTGTTCACAGGCCTTCTGAGAAGCGGGGCCCTGGCCCCCACACCCTCGGGTCCCACTGGGTCCTCACATTGCTGGCGGAGTCGTGGGTCTCCTTGAAGGAGAATCGGGCCCCACTCTTGATGCCCAGCTCCAGCCATTTCCCCTTGAACCACTTGACGGTTGGTTTGCCTGGGAGCTCCTTCCCGTTCACCTTGGCTGAGATCATCACGTCCTTTCCTAGGTGGGGGTGGGGGAGATGGAGGATGAGAGGGAGAGGTCAGGCAGGAGCCATGAGACTCAACAGAGAGGACTGTGAAGCTGGGGGCCCCCAGACACTCCTCCCTCAGACCCAGGAATCCAGGCCCCCAGCCCCTCCTCCCTTAGACCCAGGAGTCCAGGCCCCCAGCCCCTCCTCCCTCAGACCCAGGAGTCCAGGCCCCCAGCCCCTCCTCCCTCAGACCCAGGAGTCCAGGCCCCCAGCCCCTCCTCCCTCAGACCCAGGAGTCCAGGCCCCCAGCCCCTCCTCCCTCAGACCCAGGCCCTCAGCCCCTCCTCCCTCAGACCCAGGCCCTCAGCCCCTCCTCCCTCAGACCCAGGAGTCCAGGCCCCAGCCCCCTCCTCTCTCAGACCCAGGGGTCCAGCCCCCAGCCCCTCCTCCCCCAGGGCCTCCTCACCATTCTCCACGGACACAGAGTCTGGCTTCTTCAGGAAAATGCCAGTGGGCTCCTCAGCAGTGGGGGACTGGTCCTCAGATGGGGTTTTTGCTAGGAGACAGGATTAGGGGTCTGAGGCAGCGGGGAGGGGCAACAGGCCACTTTGGGGACAGGGCTTAGAAGCCAAAGGCCATGGCATGAAGTGGCTTTTCCTGACCTGGGAAAGACCACATCACCCAGGAAGCTGTGTGACCTTGCCCAGGCCAGCCTAGCCCTTTAGGCCTCAGTTTCCCCATCTGTGAACTGGAGGGTGGTGGACCGGATGGTCTTGAATGGGGCTTGGCAGTGGCAAAGGTGTAAAGATGGACCGGGGGGTTCCGAGCTGGCAGGGCTCAGTGATGAATCAGCCAGTTGTTGGATGGGGGCTTGAAGGCCAGGCTGGGGGACTGGCTCTGTCCTGGGGGCACTGGGGAGCCACGGAGGGCTGGGAAGGGGTGCATCAGCTCTGGGGCCATGGGGAGGACAGGGAGAACGCAGAAGAGTGAGGGGAGCCCAGGGGATGAGGTCCAGGTTCTGCTGAGCCCATTGGATACCATCTCACCTTTGGGGGACTCTGCAGGAGCCTCCTCTGGGGGCGCCTCCTTGGGAGCTGGTGTGGCCTCATCTTTGTCTTTGGGGGCCTCCTCGGCCGCTGGGAGGTAGATGTTCACAATTGAGCACAGGATCAGCACCCTCCTCTTCCAGAACCCAGAAGTTGGGGCCCACAGCTCCCTCCTCCCTCAGACCCAGGAGTCCAGCCCATCCAGACTGAGTCTCTGCGATCAGGTTTCCCCTTGCCCCAGGCTGTGCTCCATCCACTCAGGCCACAGGCCCTGACCTTCGGGGCCTGGGGGTAAAATTAGCTCTTCCCCAGGGGCTGGAAATTGGACTCCTCATGCTGACCACAGCACCTCTGCCCTGCCCTGCCCGCTGGCTCCTGGCTCACAGGGTCCCAGCTGCAGAGTCTGGACCCTCATCCCACAGCCTGGTTGCCTGGTGCCAGTGGCCTGGACACCCAGGGAGGGAGTTATCTTTTCTGTTCATCTCCCCGTAAGAAGGAAGCCCCATCCCCATGTCAAGAAATGCCCCACAGGCCCATTCAAAGAAGGGCCCCCAATCAGCACATACAGGCTCAGCCCTTCCATGGAGGCCCCCTAATTCCTACGTGGGAAGCCTTGTTACCCATGGAAGGAGGTCCCTTGTCCTCACACAGAACTCTCCTCGCCACACAGACAGAAGTCCCTAATCTCTGTACCTACAAGGACTCCATGCCCCCACGGAGAAAGGCCCCGACCTCATTCAGGCAAGTGGCCAGATCCCTACCCGGGGGACCCCCTCCGTCAATGTAGAAGACCCCAATCACCATGCAGACTCCCCAGTGGATACACACATACAGGACCAAGCCCTTCCAGAAAAAGAACTCAAAGTCCCAATCAGAGACGCTCCATCTGTACCCAGATATGGGCCTCCCAACTCCCTACAAAGGAACCCCTCACCGCCCCGGGAAGTGGGCCCTCCAATCCACACAGGGGTGGGAACCCCTTCTCACACAGGAGGTGCCCCATTCTCCCAACATCACAAAAAGAGGAGCCCCTAGTCTCCACCCGGAAGGAGACCGAGACCCGTCTCCACAGAGAGGAAGTGCTGAAAGCCACCTGGTTTCTCCTCAGGCATGTCTGCCGACCTCCTGGGCTCCTCTGACCGGGCTGTGTCCCTCTGGGCCCCAGGGAGGACAGGTGGGCCTCCAGAAGGAACCCTTTAAGGAGTGCAGTGGCTCCCAGGAGGCTCTGGGAGGCATCCCTGGGCCTTCTCACCCTCCCCACCCTCCCCAGGCCTCCCCACAGTCCACCTGTTCTACAGTGCGAAGGACAGAAGGACAGACTGACAAGAAGAGATGGCTGAATGCCAGGCTCTCAGGGAGGAGGGGAATGGTTTGGGACACTGGGTCTGAGGGAGGAGGGGCTGGAGGCCTGGACTCCTGGGTCTGAGGGAGGAGGGGCTGGGGGCCTGGACTCCTGGGTCTGAGGGAGGAGGGGCTGGAGGCCTGGACTCCTGGGTCTGAGGGAGGAGGGCTGGGGGCCTGGACTCCTGGGTCTGAGGGAGGAGGTGCTGGGGGCTAGACCCCTGGGTCTGAGGGCAGAGGAACCTGGGGTCCAGAATCCTGGGGGGGGGGGGATGAGGGCCTTAACTCCTGAGTCCTAGGAAGAGAGGGAGGAAGGGGCTGGGGACCAAAGTCGGCAAATGGCACGGGTGCGGGGTGGGGTGGGGTGGGGTGGGGTGGGGTGGGGTGGGGTGGGTGGGAGTGGGGTGAAGACAGAGTCTAGAAAGCCAATCTTAGTATTTGCGTCAGGGTTTTCGGGAAACCAGAGCCCGGGGTGGGGGGTGGGGGGTAGGGTCGGGTTTCCCAGCGTGGGCGGCCGGCTGCCGGGGGAGGAGGTGTTTATGACTGCAGGGAGGGCACTGAGGCGCGGGGGCTCCGGAGCCAGCCCCCGGATGTAGGCACACCCCAGGGCCTGGGGCCCCAGCCTCCTGGGACCCGGGACGCTTCCCGGAGCGGGTGCGGCGGGCACTGGACGCGGGTACCGCTGGGGGGGGCGGGTGGGGAGGCCGGGAAGGCCCTGGAGGGATGCCCGGACGTTGGCGCCCTTCCCGGCAGGGAGACCTGTGGCTTTCTGAATGGGGGGGGGGGGCAGATGCCGGGTGGGGGAGGGAACTGGGGAAGGACAGGGCCTTGGGGACCCCAGGTGCGATGGGAGGAGGGCAAGGTGGGCTCGAGGAGGGGGAAGGGGGTTGGAAGGCTTTGGGGTGAAGGGAGTGGTGGGGAGGTGGTGTCGCAGGGTGAGGGACCGATGTGACGGAAGACAGGTCCCTCCGGGTTTTCTTCCTGCCCGACTTCCCCCTCCCCCTTTTCCAAAACCCCCTAAGAGCCGGAAATTTCCCCGCCTCCAGGGAGCGCCAAGCCAACCCGGCGGCAGCCCTCGTGTGGCGTCACGGGTTGCCAGGCAGACTACCACACTGCTCCTGCGGGCCAGCCAGGTGGTAGAGCCACCGGCGCGAGGAGGGAGGCGCTGCCAGGGGGGGCCTGGCGCCCTGCCCCGTCCGCCAGAGGGCAGTATTCCGAGAGCGGGAGACCGAAATCCAGGGAAGGCGGAGAGCAGGAAGGGGCGGAGGGGTGGGGGCAGAGACCCAGAGAGAGAGTGGAGCAAAGACCTGGACGGGGAGGCAGGGAGAGGGCGGGGAAGAATCCCGAGGGTCAGGAAGAGAGGGAGACAAAAATTAAAGGGAACCACCGGTGCCTGTAGTCTTCAAAGCTCCGCCTGGCCTGGCTCTGACTGGCTCTTCCATCGCCTCTCTTCTCTCCCCTCACTGTCTCAGTGTCCCTGAGGGCCAGCAGTCCCCAGTGAACCAGCAGCACCGCAGGCCCTGACCAAGGGTCCTGTTTTATTTATTTTATTTCACACTTGGGATGATTATAGCTTTTGCAAATGGTACCTCATTTGCAAGAGGAGGCCCTAGGGAGGACATTTTGTCCCCCACATACCCTTCCCATGGTGGCCCCCTCCCCAAGGTAGGGGGCGCTGTTCTATTGCGGACAGGTCCCAGCCTGGCTCTGCTGCGCCACTGTGCGCCCCTGCGAGGGCCTCTTCCCTCTCAGGGTCTGAGATGCTCCTTCCTGGTCCTCCTCCAGGTGAGAAGTGGGTGTTGCAGTGGGTTTCAGGAGATGTGTCAAAGGCCTGTCCACAAGGCTACAAGGGTCTTCCTCCTCTTCTTCTCCCTTCTCCCCTTTCTCGGAAGGGACAACTGAGGCCCAGAAGCAGCAAGTCTTTGATCCTAGGTCCCCCAGCCACCCAGGCTCAAGGACCTGGACTCTGGGCTCAGCCACAGACTCTGACACCCCTGAGGGCTTGCAGTCGAAGCTCCCACAGTCCATCCAGGCTTCACCTCCAGCTGGGTTCACACCAGGGGTCAAAATGCAGAAGGTTGGGGGCCAAGGCAACTGAGAGAAGCCACCCGCATAGGACAGCCAAGGGCCTTGGGGTCCAGGACAGACTGGAGAACAGAGGCCCATTGGTGGGGCCGTAGCCTCTCTCCATACCGCAAAGCCGGTCGCTGGATTGTGCAAGGTGAAGGATTTTGCAAAATCTCCCTCTATTGACTGGTCAGTTAATTTGGATCCCCTTCCGAAAACAAACAAAACTGCTACCATGAACTAAAGAACTCTCCCCACCCCACCCCCACCCCCAGGAGGGACGCGATTTGCCCCATGAGGGGTAGGGAGTGTGTGGAGGAGGGAGTCACCAGTTTGAGACTTCTGGTTAGAAATGATGGGAGGGAGCTGCTGCCAACATCACCCAGAAATCATCTGAGTGGCCAGAAAGATCCCCAGCCTGGGACTATGGAGGATACCCCAGGAGAGGGAGGGTTCCCATAACAACTCAGGACTGCGGATAGGGTCCCCAAAGGGGCATATCAGGTGGAAATCCAGGGGAGTGGGGCACAGATGTGATTGGAGAATCCCAGGTACAAAAAGAAGCGGTAGCAGGGCGGTTCCAGAGAATTAGGGAACGCCAAAGATGACCGAGGGACAGAGAGGACAAGGCGCACAGCTGGGCACAGAGATCTGAGACATAATAAAGGGATCCCAGAGGGCCTCAGTCATAACTAGAAGATCTCAGAGCTGACAGGAGAGATTCACGCGGGAGCAGGGATCACAGAGACCTTAGGGCTCAGGGTTGCTGACAGCGCCCCCTCCTGGTGTGAAAATCTGTGTGCTCACCCATCCCCAGAGGGTACTGGGGGATCTCAGACATCGCAAGGGGATCCCAGAAAAGCTTAGGGTTCTGGAAGCAAAACCCCGCCCCACTCCACACAGACATATAGTACAGTCGTCTATGGATCCTGTGATCCAAGCCATGAAGATCCCTGGGGACCCAGGCCTTGACATGGGAATCCCAGAGGGTCCCTGGGCAGGGCTTAGGGATTATGGCAGCTCCCCCACCCCCACAGCGTGGGGGATCCACGGGTCCTATGACCTAGGGTGAAGGGACACCAATGTGACGCCAACGTGGAGCCCCTGAGAGCCCCGGAGAGGCCCCCTGGCTCAGGCCCGGCGGGTGGCCGGCAGCAGCGCAATGTCAAACTGGTAGGTGAGCTTGCGCTTGACCTTGCGGATCTCGCCTGTCTTGGCGTAGTTGCGCAGGGCGCGGGCCAGCTTCTGGTAGGTCATGCGCTTGCGGTTGCCCTTTTGCTGGCCCCAGCGACGCGCCAGCAGCTCCTTGTGCTTGGAGGAGAACTGGAAGACCCCGGTGCCGGGCTCCACCCACCACACGCACTCGCGCATGTCACCGCGGGTCAGCAGCCCCAGCAGGAACTGGTACAGGCGCAGCTTCTTGCGGGTCCCTGCGGAGGGTGGGGTGCGTTAGGAGAGGTGTCCTGCGGGCCCCGCCCCCGCCCGCCCAGCCTCAATCTCCCCCATGGAGAGAATTGGGGGGAGGGAGGTGGCTGTTAGATGCACCTGCCTGGCTGGCTGTGCCCCTCCATCCGGGGCAAGTCGCTTCCCCCTCCTAAAGCTGTTACCACAGAACCCCCAGCACCCTTCCCTGCTTGCTTTTTCAGAATGTGCTCCTATCCTGTGCTCTGCCCGGGGGCCAGCACCGAGGAATGCATGTTTGCTGAGCCCATGGATGAAAGAATCTGTGAAATAGACTGACAGTGCTACCCCGAGGCTTCCAACAGAGAGCTGACCGGTGGCGAAGGGACCTGGAGTGGGTTTGAATCCGCCTGGCTAATCTCCAGCTCCCGGTCACCCAGCCTCTCAACCCCAAAGGGACTGAGAGGCCAGGGGATCAGACTGCTGGGCGCCTAGAAGCAGCAAGGGCCCCAAAGAGCTGGGGCAGGTGGTCATAGCAGGGCACCGGATACAAGAACCTCTCCTGTGCCATTTCCATGCTGTGTGACCTTGGGGTGGTGACAACCTCTCTGAGCTGGCACTTTCTCAGCTATAAATGAGGCTTGTATGTGTGTGTGTGTGTGTGTGTGTGTGTTACTTTTACAAACGCCATGTCAGGTGCTTTACAATTATGAGCTCCTCTCATTTCCATCATAACCCCGTGAGATGGGGGTGATGGCGATGGCCCGGTTTACAGATGGGAAACTGAGGTCCAGAGAGAGAAAGTCGCCAATGATCGCAACTTCCCAGAGGTTGTGCATAAGGATGTTGGGCATGTGAGCAGAGGCGGGGGTTGACTAGATAGGGGCTGATATGGTGATGATTTCTGTTGCTGTTGTGTCAATAATGATGCTGAAGACTGATCGGGCGCTCACTCTGTGCCAACACCGCTACCTCGTTTACAGCATTCTCCCACTGAACCCTCCCAACCACCAGCAACAGCCACTATCATCCCCATTGTACAGACAGGAAAGCAAGGCCCGGAGAAGCAGAGGCCCCTGCCCGTGGTCACATAGCCTGGGAACTGCCCTCAGCACTGGAGTCTATAGTAGGTGCTTGGGAAGCCGGGGTCCTTTAGCCCCACCCCCGTCTCCAGTGGGAGCCCCCCCACCCCACCTACTCCCACATACCTGCCTCAGATCCCCTTCCCTCGGGGCCAGCCATGAGGGCCTCATCCGACTCGCTGTCTGAGACCTCCAGCGCGGGGCTGTCCAGCAAGAGATCCTCCTCTTCTGACAGCACGGGACTGGGGTACGGGGTGTACGCAGGGGGGCCCAGGGTCTGCGGAAGGTCAGGGTCACCTACATTCAGGGGTCCCCTTCTCGCCCTCCCTTGGCTTCCTCTTCCTGGGTCCTCCCCACCCCGTTTACAGCCTGCATCCTGGCCTCAGTTCAGACCACCACGGCGTGGCCAGGGACCCCCCCAGGAACGCCTGCCCCACGTAGATGACAGCTATCTGCGCTGCCCCTTGGCTCACGCCTGTGCCTGTCGGCTGGTTCTGCAATGTAGTAAACGGCACTCAGCCTCAGAGGGTTGTCAGAGGCGGGAGGAGTTACTAGGTGCATAGGTTCCAACACAGTGCCTGGCACCGAGCAAATCTCCATGAAATGATGGGGATTTCAAGGATCTCCCTGCCCCTCACCTGGCTAGTGAAGTCCTCTGTGGGGTACGATGGGAAGCCAGGCCCTGGGGTCTCCACGCTGGTGGCTGGGTTGAGGCTCCCCACAGGGCTGTAGTTTGAGGAGGGTCCATAACAGAGCTGGACATCCTGGGGATGGCCGAAGGTGGCCACAGCTGGGTCGAAGGCTTCATAGGAGGTGGCAGGGACAGCTGGGACCTCGGTCCAGCCCCACAGGGAGTCTGGGGGAAGGGCACTGAATCAGAAGCCAGGAGGTCTGGCCTTGGCCCCCTCCCACTGGAAGCCCCTAGCACAGAGGGACCATTGTGGGCCATGCAAATCACTGACCCCAGGATTTGCATGGACCAGCAGTGGTTGGGGTGAGGAAAGGGAGAGGCTGAAGGCCTGGCTAACCATGCCCTGATGTGCAATAGGACAACTTCCCCTGGGCCTCAGCTCCCATTCTGTGAAATGGGCTCAAGGGGCATATAGGGAGGGGTCTGGGCCAGGTTCACTCACCAGGAGCCCCCTCTGAGTCAGGGTAGCTGGGGTGCTTACAGCTGTCCAAGTCGTAGAAGATTCCCTCTGGGTACTGATGGGTGGGGAGAAAGAGAGGTCACCCGGGCTGTGAGGAGCCACATCCCCACCCTGGTTCAGCAGGGAGACTTCAACAGGGAGAGGGGAGACTGGGTAAGAGGCTGGGAGAAGGAGAGAAAGAGACAGAGACCAGGCATCAGAGACAGGAGCAAAGAGAGAGATGTACAGAGACACAGAGAGGAGACAGACACAACATGGCAGAAACACACAAAGACCCAGAGACACACAGAGAGAATGAGAGAGAGACAGCAGCCAGCTTCTAAGACAGTGGGGTCCCAGGACCCCAGCACCTCGCTGGTACACAGCCATCGTGTCCTAAGAATTCCTCCAGCCTTGCCTGCCTGGGCGGCGGAGTGAAGGGTGAGAGGGTGGAAGTCTTTTTTGCCTTAATGCCGCCCTTATCCACCTCCATATCACCTCGACTCATCCCAAGAATTGTCTTGCTTTAGCAATTAAATTCTCGTAAAGACTAAAGCCAGAGGATATCCCGGTGACCCAACCATCTTACTCCCAGATTTACCCAAGAGGACTGAAAATGTATAGCCTTGTTAAAAAATAACCAGAGACCCTTCAAGAAAAGCGCCAAAGGAGATAGGGGACAGGGGATAGACACATTAACTGTGGTGAGGTCAGGTGACGGTGTACTATACAGCAAGGAAAAAGAACCAGCCTCTGACGCGCTTGATGTTGAGCAGAGGAAGCCAGACCCGAAAGGGGAAAGTTCAAAACCGGGCAAAACTAATTTGTGGTGGAAAAAGAATCAGAAGGGGTATTGGTGGAGAAGGCGTGTAAGCGGATATTCCAGTGACAGAATGCTCTCTCTGATCCTAGTCTGGTTAGTGGCTGCACAGGTGCGTGCCCAAGGTCAAACCTCACTGAGCTGTACACAGATGTGTCATTGTACTGACTGACAAGTTATGCCTCAATTTTTTAAAAAAGCAAAACTCGTCATGTGGAGGAGAGAGGGGCACCCGAAAGGGTTGTCTTTCAAGGCCATGAGTGAGGTTTTATTTCTCAGACTGGACTGTGGGTTTTAGGTACAGTATTGTGCCTGATATATTAGAGTCTAAATTTTTGAAAAGATAAAGCAAAGAAGAGCAGGAAAGAGGGAGGAATAGATTTGCTGAATGCGGATGGACAGAGAGAGAGAGAAAGGCAGAGATAAAAGGACCCTGTACGCCACCCCAATGAAGTGGACAGAGAGCCGACGAGCAGGAGAGACATCAGAAACATATCTGTGATGGAGATGGGGGGCTGAGTGGTTACAGGTGGTGATGGAAAACATTGAGGGGGAGCCAGAACGACAAAGTGACAGGAAGGAGCAGAGAAGCAGGGAGGTCACAGTAGGCCATGTGGGTCTCCCCACCCTTCCCTGGCCCCCAGGGCCCCAACTCACCAGACAGCTGAAGTGTGGCCCGTCGAGCCTGGAGGGGGAGAGACACAGGGGCATGTCAGGGGTGTCTTCAGCCACCTGAGTCTCGAAGTGGTTGGGGGACCCGTGGGGAAGAGGCGGCTGCAGCTGTGACCACCGCAATCCGACTGCTATGTGTTCGTGTGTGAGACCAGCCACACCACTCCCCCCTACTCCCCCATTGGGACAGGAAGTGGGGGGCGGGAGCCAGGCAAATGTCCCCCCTCCCCTGGGATTTGCATAGACAGAGGCTGGTAGGGGGTAGGGAAAGTAAGGGAGAGAAAGTCCCCAGAGAGATGTGGGTGCCAGCTGGTGAGTGGGGACAGGGAGGGGGCCTCTGTCAGCCAGTCTGTCTAATGGGTCTACTTCGGACCAGCAGAGTTGGGAAGACAGAGAGACCCACTGAGGCAAATGAGAACAAGGGAGAAGGGCGTGGAGACATTCACGTAGGGATGCAGGAATTACTTCCTGAGCCCCAGAGAGAGAGAGACGGGGTGGGGAGAGGTGGGGGACAGGAGAAATAAGACAGGAGGACAGAGAATTGGAAAGAGGCTGAGACAGACAGAGGGAGCAAGAGGCGAGACCCAGGAGCATAAAGATGAGGTGGAAAACAGAGAGCAGACACAGTGAGGGGGACCCAGCAGGCCCCAGGGAGACAGAGATGGAGGCCCCCTGGGAGACGTCAGCAGTGGGGGAAGCAAGCCTCCCATGGACAGATCTGTGGGGTCCAGGGGGAGACAGGAAGAGGATGAAGAATCAGAGGTGGTAAGGAAACAAGAGAGACCCAGAGGGGCAGAAGTGAGGGACCCCCCCAGTGGGGCAGACAGCTGAGACCACCGCTGTGGGGGGGCCTGGCAGAGGGGCCGGGGGTGGTAGGAGCCAGGGGTTTCCACATGCAGGATTAGGGGCCCCACTCACTGTGCAGCCTCCAGGGCGAGCATGGCGGTGCTGGGCTGGGTTCACTGCCAGTTGCAGCCACCACTCCTATTTATACCTTGGCCCAGCCCCTTGGGGGGCAGGGGTGCTGTGAGCTCAGCCCTCCTCGAAAATCCCCTCAGGGAGGGGTTCAGGGGAGGGGGCTGGATTGCACAACCTCTTGGTCACATGGTGGGGAGGGCGGGCCCAGGAGCAGGAGGCTGGATTTGGGGATCCCCATAGATGGGAGCAGGGATGACCGTGAGGGGCAGATAGGCGCTGGATTTGGGGGACCATGAGAATAAAGGGGGCCGAGTGGTCCTTGGCCAGTGGAATGGAGGTCATACAGGGAGTGCTCTGAGGAAAACCCAGGCCAGCGCGGGCGAGGACCCTGAGGTGGAAACACTGGGGGGGTGATGCGGGAGGTCCCCTGGGTCGTGTGGGCAGCGGGAGCCTCTGAGCCAGGGGCTGCCCCAGGCCTGGAGGAAACAGGCCAGCACCTGGGGAACAGCTGGCCCCCAGGGAGGGCGGGCCGGGCAGAGAAAGCTTGTGCCCACAGAAGCCCACTCAGGCCTCAGGGGGAGACGCAGGCAGACTTGGCCTGTGTGGGCTGGCAGCAGGGGTAGGAGCCCAGGGGCCCAGTGAGGACATCCTGGGGGTCAGGGGAGTGGAGACGAACCCACCCAAGCCAGGGCCTGACAATGGACCTTGTCCCCCCAGACACCAAACACAAACTATCAGGTAACAAAAGGCCCAAACTTTATTAATTCTCCACCAATTCCACCCCGAAAGGCCCTCGAGGGAAACCCTTGGAGGTCAGAGGTCACCAGGCCTCGGGACCAGGGGGCCCAAAGCGTCTCAGAAGCTGCTCTTGGTCCTCCAAGTCCTTGCGCACCTTCTTGCGCATGTAGAAGATGGGGCAGTCCCGGCTGCGGGCAGTCAGGGGTCAGGGTCAGGGCCAGCTGCCCAGGGCTGCACCAGCCCTGATGCCCAGCCCAGTGATGGAGCAGGGACCGTTCCCAGGACTTTGGCCCCGGCTTGCTGCCCACCCACCCCCCTCCCGTAGCGGGGTGTTTGCTCAGCGGGCACGGGGGGAGCCGATAACAGCGGGTGCTCGCTGAGGCGCTGGGCCACCAGCCGTATATCACCTGTCACCTGGCGTGGGAACCCGCCCCTCCCACCTGTTCCCTGGGGAAAACCCGGCCCCACCCTGGGGGAGGGGGTCAGTGCAGCCATTTCCCTGGGCAGATCCTGAGTGCCCGACCCTGCCCCACTCAGGAGCTCCCCACCCCCAGCCCCAGGAGGGCCGGGATGATCACTGGCCCGTTTTGCAGGCCAGGACCGAGGGTCAGGGAGACTGCAGCCAGAAGGGGATGTGGGTGGAGGGCTGCTGCCTGAGACGCTGGCCCCGGGAGCACGGAGGGACCTGGGCGGCGGGCTCACAGACATGCGCACCTGGTACAGATGACATCCTCGTGCAAGCTGCCCTGACAGCGCTGGCACTGGGTCCACAGGCGCGAGAAGCGCTCCTCCAGGGCGCTCAGGTGTGACACCTGGGGATGGCGCGGCTGAGCAGCAGCCCTGGGCTCACCCTCTCCCCAGTGCCCTGCCCCGACTCCTCACCTCCTTCTGATACAGCTCCGACTCCCGGGGCTTGCAGAACTTGCACACGGCTCCTGGGGGTGGGGTCAGCACAGGAGAGCTGGGGCCCAGCCAGGGCCCAGGCCGCCCCATCCCTGCCCTTTCCCTGCCTGCTGCCCATCCCGACTCCTGAAAGTCCCCAGAGACAGAGAACAAGGGAGCAAGTGTGTGGGGAAAACTCCCTGGGGAACTCCTGGGGTGGGGGACCTGGGACCCCCTTGCGGTGTCTGTATAGAAGAGACCCCCACCCAGGGGCCAGACCCTACCTGGGCAGCAGTGCCAGCTTGTGGGGCAGGGGCTGGGGACCTTGGGCAATAGCTGAGGGGGTGGAGGGGCATGTTAGGGGTCAGGGGTCAGGGCTGGAGCCCACACTCACCTTGGTGGCTGAGGACAGTGCGGCAGCCGATGCAGCAGCTCTGACGCTTGGCGAAGGCCAGCAGGCCACCCACCTTGCCAGTGAGCACGGTCTTGCATCGTGTGTGGTCCCCACCTGCCGGCGAGAGGTGAGGGGTGAGGGGTGAGGGCAGGCCAACCCCCCAGCCCCACAGCTCCTGGTACCCCCACTTACGGAGCAGCACGGCTTCGGCGCGGCCCTCGCCCAGGATGGGCTCGAAGATGCGCAGCAGCGGCTTGGCCAGCTGCTGCTCCAGGTAGTACTGTGTGTCGATGGGCAGGCTGTGCTCCAGCACGAACAGCGGGTCCTGCAGGCAGAGCGCCGGCAGGTCACACCAGGGCCAGAGCAGTGGAGGGGCTGGGGGCCATGACAGCAGGACCCCGGGGTAAAGGGCACCAGACTACTGAGGGGTCCTCCAGTCATGATTGCGACCACGGTGTGGGGTGCTCACTGGGCACTGCGCTGGTCTGCGGAGAGTGGCATCCAGGGGGGCGTCTGGGATGGGGTCATAGGTCATGGGGAGTCATGGAGGGTCCCTGGCCACAGGCTCTGTGATCCATGGGTCCTCAGGTGACCAGGGAAGGGCCAGAGGTCACAAGGATGAAGGGAGACAAGGACTGGAGTCGGAGGCTGGACAGAAGCTAGGGAGTGAGGAAGGGGTGTGAGGGTCAGAGGCCACAGGGCGTCTGGGCAGGATGGTGGAGGGTATGGATCTAAGGGAATCAAAGGTTGGAGAACGAGGGCCAATGAGTCCAGAAAGGGACAGAGAAACAGAGACAGAAAGATGAGGAGATGCCCTGTGCAGTGGGGCTGAACCCCTTTGCAAAGGGGAGGGAGGGACAGGTCAGAAAAATGGGGGTAGGAGGGACCCTCCACAGAGCACTGGGCGGCCTGGGAGCAGAGCATCACGGAGCCGACTCCTGGGCGTGCTGGGGGTGGCTGTCGGGCCCCATGGGGCCCACAGAGGGAAACACCTTCCCACCAGCTTGGAAAGCAGAAGTGAGAGCGGGAGGGCTGGGCGGCACAAGCGGCCCAGGTGGGCCTGACCTCGGACTTCATGTAGGCAGCCACGCCCTTGGCGGCACCAATGATCACGTAGGGGACCCGGTCTCCCAGGCTGGGTGCACTCCCGGGGTCCCGCTTCCTCATCCTGCGGGGAGACAGGGAGATGGTGGGGTGAGGCAGGTGGGACAGCCAGTGGGGCTGCGGTGTGGGGGTGAGGGGTGTTGGCAGGAAGTGGTAGGCTCAGCTGGCAGGAAGGGCTATTTCTGGACGGTCCAGAACTCCCAGGGGCAGACCTCTCGGCCAGCTCCACGTGGGCCTGCTTGCCGGCGTAGTCGGCGGCCGCGCGGGTCAGCTCCTTGGTGATGACCAGTTGTGAGATGTCGATACGGTTGCACAGCAGGTCCGAGATGACATCCTGTGCGTGGGATATGGCGCCCTCGGGGTCTCTGTGGGCGAGACGGGGCCTTATGACTGGCTGCTGAGGGCCAGGCTGGCACCTTCAATGCCACCAAGGCTGGGGGACCAGGCGGGCTCTGGGGGCTGAGGCCGGGGGTGGGGTGGAGTCCTGCCCAGCCACAGGCTGCAGCCCCACAGCTGTCCAAGCTCACACTCTTTCCACCACTTTTCACAGGAAAAGCTGGCCCGACACCTGTGTCCCCAAGGGAGGAGGGCTGGGGCTCCCGGGTCTGAGAAAGCAGGGCTGGGGTCTGGCCTCCAGCTCCGGGGTCAGGGTCCCACACACCTACCGGTCAATGAGCAGGCGGCGAAGTGAGGCGGTAACGAGGTTGGCCACTAGGGGGCAGTTGTCCCTGCGCACAGCCTCCAGGCCCTTGCAGTCCATGCGGTCGTGGGTGTCGGGCCGGGAGGAGAAGAGCAGGCCCGCATAGCGCTTCTTGCTGATGAGCAGGTAGGGGAAGTAGACCTGGGGAGTACCTGGGCTGAGAACCCTGAGACCGCAGGGGCCAGTGTCCAACCCTGAGATGCCCCCAGACACTGAGAGACAGGTATGGTTTCCATGACGTGGGATTGGGATACTGTGGGAACGGACCCTAAGACCCCAACCCCTAAGCCCAGGAACACCCTCAGCATTCCAGGGAACCCCAGAGCAGGGTCCCAAAGTCTGAAACAGAGACTAGAGCAAACCTAGAAACAGGCCCTGAACGTGAGATCCAGACACGAGGGTGAAGCCTGGAGAGTCTCAAATCTGGGTCTGGGACAAAACCTGAGGCAGGTGGGGCATCCCCCCCAAAACAGGAGACTAAGGCCCAGAGGGATCCCCGAGGCACAGACCTCCCAAAACTAGGAGACTCTGAATCCAAGGTCAGGTGTGTCCCACGCCTGACCCTGGTTTGCACCCTGGGGATAAAGCCCTGTGAGTTTCCAACCCGAGCCTGCCCTACACCGAGCGGGACCCCAGACAACGGCCCCTCGTCCAGGACGGGCCTGTCAGAGTCCCCGCCACCCAGGACAGACCCCACACCCAACAGGTACTGGGAAACTCCAAACCAGAGACGCTTTGAGACTGACAGGGTTGTCAAAAAATAGACACTGCAGAGCGTGCAAAACCAGGGCCCAAACTCAGGAGAATCCAGGCAGCAAAATACCTGGACATGGGGGCTCATGAACCCCAAAATTGGGATACCCAGAGACCCTAGAAACACTGGGGTTTCCCAGATGCTGACACACCGGGGAACCCCATATGAAGGCATCTGTAAACTTTGCAGGCACCCTGAGAAAGAGGTCCCCCTGAAACTAGCAAGACCCACAGCTGCCCACTCCAAGCCCGGAGGTGGGGGGCACTTACCTTTTCGAACTCCAGCCGGATGGGCGAGGGGAAGTGGCCTGACACCCAGTCTGCAGCCTCCCGCCCCAGGGCCATCGCTTCAGCCACAGAGGAGACGCCAAATCGGCACATGACAGAGTCCGTGTCTCCATACACCACCTGGTCAGGAGGGGGAGGGCCGTGTGACCGAGGGGCCCCGTACTCCC